TCCATTTAACAACTACCCATCTCAACCCAAATCGATACGGCCTTTTTATGGGTTTCTGGCTAGGCATTTTCGCGATCCACAAAACCTGGACCTCGTTTGCCTTCTAGTGGAGGATAGATGATAAGACAGGAACCCTTGCGTACCCAGTTTAGTGTATTGTTTCGGTGGTTCAAACGCAACTTTTAGCTAAAAACTCCAACCGTGGTAGACAAGTTTCACCCGAAAAGTTGAAAAGTTCTCATTCCAGGAGATTTCTGCTCGAAAAGTCGAAAAATTCGAAAAGTCGAAAAATTCGAAAAGTCGAAAAGTTCGAAAAATTCGAAGAGTCGAAAAGTTCGAAAAGTCGAAAAATTCGAAAATAAAATCGAAAAATTCAGATTCCAGGAGATTTCTGCTCGAAAAATGCGAAAAGTCGAAAAATTCACATTCCAGGAGATTTCTGCTTGAAAAGTCGAAAAATTCGAGTCGAAAAATTCGAAAAGTCGAAAACTTTTTGACTTTTTGCGAAAAGTTTTGCAATTTTCGCGCTGCGCGATTACCGGCGAGAAGAGCGCTTAGTTTGGGGGGGGGGCGCCAGCTTTCTATGATCTGTGGTGCGAATTTTTTAGGGGTGGCAGTTGCGACGCGCTCCCACTACCACAGTTCACTGCCCCTTGGGGCGTACATATAGCGTGCGCAGAGCCAGGCAGCTTGCTGCGTTTTGAAGCATGTAAGCAAGCGCGCTTCAGGACAAGGTGCTTCAGGAAGATGCTTTACGTCATTTATCCGAAATATTTTCGTATGCTGCTTTGGAACAAGAAGCAGGTGTTGTAGAAGAGCTTGTGCTGAGATAAAATGCTTGGGGACAAGATATGTGTGGGCGGCGCTTCACTGCAAGACCCTGTGGAAGAGCCTGCGCTAGAAAAATGTACTACAGGATGCTGCAAAAAAATCTTCCTCAGAAAGGCGCCATAGGCTTCAGAACGATTCCCGCTGGGGCAAGACGCTTGGAGACACGGCCCCAGACATGACGCTCTGGAGGGTGTTTGAAGACAGACGGGATATGCGGCCCTATGCATGCAAAAGCTGAGAAAGATGAAAAAAAAACTGGGGGGTTTCATGAAAACGCGGCAACGGATAAATGCATCCGAATGTTCACTACGGCCCCTTATCCACCCCTGCGGTGCCGATGTAATTTGAAAATTAGTTTACATAGTTTGTTGCATTGCAGCTGTTTTTGCTATCTATACTCACAAGCATATGAAAATAGTGGAAAGCAGCCGGCAACGGATAAATGCATCCAAATGTTTATTACGGCCCCTGATCCACCCCTGCGGTGCCAATGTACTTTGAAAATTACTTTACATGGTTTTTTGCAGCTGTTTTTGCCACGTATGCTCGCAAGCATATGAAAATATGGAAAGCAGCCGAATCGCATTATACCAATGATTCCCTGCCACGGGGGTGGTCCCTTTTTCGCTGATATTTCACCGATTCACCGGGGGGGCCCTGTTTGAAATATGAGGCAATTCTGCTCAGAAGCTGCCCCCAATACATTTGCTAAAGCAAAGCGAACTCCAGCTAGCAAGCTAGCTTCCGTGATAAAGGAAACCAAACATCCTAAAAAAGCATCTGCCAATACTTACGACGTTCTACTTCGAGAAGCCTCTGCGTACAAGTTGCCTTCAACCACGGTTCCATCTCTCCGTCACTAAACACATTTTCCCACGCGATCATTGTCAATAAACGCTGGTTTGCAATCTCGATTCTCCAGAGGTTGCTGCCGTTCCATAGTCATGGACAAATTGAAACCATGCTGAAAATAGTTCGCACCTTTGGCGCAGAATTGGTCCAACTGATGATGGTGCAATACAGGCGACCGTCCTCCCTGAATACGGCAAATCGCATAATGCTCCGGAAATCCGCCTTTAACCCAAACGAATCGCCTGCTGCGAACGATGTTTTCGAAACCTGGCAAGCCGTGCGCAAACATGCTGAATCAAACCTATCTGCCGAAGATGTCCACCATGAGATATTTAGCATTGCATCCAAGGTGTTCCAAGGTGTTCTTTGTGACCTAGATTAGGTGCAAGTAAAGCCAAACATAAACGGGCAAACGTTGGTTTGCGCAAGCCGAATCAAAACCACAAACAAACACTTGCAGGTTGATCCCAGCTAAGAACGGTACATTTGCAGCCAAGTCGTGCCGAAAACAAAACACAATGAACGTTTAGTGCGCGCGGCGAGAAAGAAACGCAAACTATATGGCCAAAACGCACGTACATGAATGTACCAAGACAGGCGACAGGTACCACAAATCCACACCAAGGCACTTTTTGTTGCATGCAGCTCAGCATTCCCATTTTTAGATTTGTCCACCAGAGTGCTGTTCACTGCCCTCGGCCGCACAGCAAAGAAGTCGGTGTGCAAAAGGCATACTGTGCAATCTTGAAAGATGCCGTCGATGGATGAGTTCCGCATTGTTTCCAATAACCACGTGTCATCGAGAATCAACACATCTGGATTGAGTCGGATGACCCAATCATATTCGTCGAACCATTTTTCTTCCACTCCTTTGTGCCCAAAACCATCTTTCCTCAACACAAAACAAAACAGGATCACACCAGAGAGGCTGACATATAGGAATGAACGTTTCAAAACAGACTGATGAAACAAGATGGAAGCCATGAAGCCGAATGCTCACACGCTTGAACATACTTGCAAAACCGCTTGGGAAGACACTCTGCAAGACATGCTTGGAAGGATACTCATGTAAACCATCCGGTAAAGGCACCCTTGGAAGACACGCTTGTAGGGGACTCGTGCCCCGTACTCTTGTAGGAAACTTTTGGAAAGACACGTTTTCAAGACACTTCTTTAAACAGGCACTCTTGCGGGACACTCTTGACAAACACTTCCTTTAAGAAACTCTTGCGAAGCACCCTTGTAAAAACACTTTTCCAAGACACTCCGGGAAATACACTCTTGGTAAGACACTCTAGTGAGACGCAGGGAAACTCTTGAAAAAAGAGTTTGTGGAAGACATTCCCCGGAGAATTCTTGAAAAGACACCCTTGGAAACACAACCCTGGAAGGTCCTCTCTTCAAGACACTCTGGTGTAAGCACTCTTGGACACTCTTGAAAAGACAGGAAAGGAGGAGAGAAGCAAACAAAAAGACGGGAAGAGGAGAAGACGAGAACAGGAGAAAAGGAGAAGAAGCGAAGAGGGGCAAAGGAGAGGAGGAGAGGAGGAGAGGAGGAGAAGAGCAGAAGAGGAGAAGAGAGGAGAAGAGAGGAGAAGAGAGGAGAAGAGAGGAGAAGAGAGGAGAAGAGAGGAGAAGAGAGGAGAAGAGAGGAGAAGAGAGGAGAAGAGAGGAGAAGAGAGGAGAAGAGAGGAGAAGAGAGGAGAAGAGAGGAGAAGACCCAGAAGAGAGGAGAAGAGAGGAGAAGAGAGGAGAAGAGAGGAGAAGAGAGGAGAAGAGAGGAGAAGAGGGGAGAAGAGGGGAGAAGAGAGGAGAAGAGGAGAGGAGAAGAGGAGGTGAAAGAGAGGAGAAGAGGAGAAGAGGAGAAGAGGAGAAGAGGAGAAGAGCAGAAGAGAAGAGGAGAAGAAGAGAAGAGGAGAAGAGGAGAAGAGGAGAAGAGGAGAAGAGGAGAAGAGGAGAAGAGGAGAAGAGAGGAGAAGACGAGAAGAGGAGAAGAGAGGAGAAGAAAGAGAGGAGAAGAGAAGAGGAGAAGAGAAGAGGAGAAGAGGAGAAGAGGAGATGGGGCGAAGAGGAGAGGATGAGAAGAGGAGAAGAGGAGAAGAGGAGAAGAGGAGAAGAGAGGAGAAGAGGAGAAGAGAGGAGAGGAGAAGAGAAGAGGAGAAGAGAAGAGGAGAAGAGGAGATGGGGCGAAGAGGAGAAGAGGAGAAGATGAGAAGAGGAGACGAAGAGAGAAGGAGAAGAGAGGAGAAGAGAGGAGAAGAGAGGAGAAGAGAGGAGAAGAGAGGAGAAGAGAGGAGAAGAGAGGAGAAGAGAGGAGAAGAGAGGAGAAGAGGGGAGAAGAGAGGAGAAGAGAGGAGAAGAGAGGAGAAGAGAGGAGAAGAGAGGAGAAGAGAGGAGAAGAGAGGAGAAGAGAGGAGAAGAGAGGAGAAGAGAGGAGAAGAGAGGAGAAGAGAGGAGAAGAGGAGCTTAAGAGGAGAAGGGGGGAAGAGGAAAGAGGAGGGGAGAAGAGGGGAGGAGGAGAAAAGGAGAAGAGAGGAGACGAGGAGAAGAGAGGAGAAGAGAGGAGACGAGGAGAAGAAAGGAGAAGAGAGGAGAAGAGGAGAAGAGAGGAGAAGAGAGGGGAAGAGAGGAGAAGAGGGGAGAAGGGAGGAGAGGAGAGGAGAAGAGGAGAGGAGAAGAGAGGAGAAGAGAGGAGAAGAGAGGAGAAGAGAGGAGAAGAGAGGAGAAGAGAGGAGAAGAGAGGAGAGGAGAGGAGAAGAGGGGGAGGTGAGGGGCGAGGCGAGAAGGGAGGGGGGATGTTTTTTCCCCTCCGCTCCGGTCCCCTTGTGGGGCAAACTCCCCTGAGGTTATCCTCGGAGCGATAAACTGCCAAGTACCTAGAGAAATAGTGAAGACGGTGACAACGTTCAACCGGTCGGAGCAGGAGCGACGCGAGCTGCTTTGTTTTCCTGAGGCTAAGCGCTGCAGGTGAGTCTTGAGCCACGATGTCCACGGCATCGTCCACGGCATCGTGCATATGATATGTACATGTACAACAGACATGGCATCTATGAACAGTGGAAACTAGCTACATGAACATGAACTAACTACATTGCGTAAGCGCAACTGCAGGGGAAAAACTACATCAACCAGACACAAGTTTTCTTGGTGCTGGAGCATGAAGATTGCGACGGCCCGTTTATCGTCGTGAGGCTTAATACTGCTTTTATCAGAGGCCTCCTGCTGCAAGAACACTATCGCGCAAGGTTCTTTTGATTTCTGTGAATTTCCGTGCTGCAATTTTTAGACTTCTTCTTCAAAAAGATAATCACCACAACCGATGGTGAAGGACAAAAATATATTTCCTGAATCAAGAATCACAAATCCACTGACCTCGGTCTCGGTCCCAAGACCATTCCTCATTCGACTTCCCTTCTCCTTTGGATTCCTCATTCTGGAAGAAGGTGGAGGATTAGGTGGTGTCTTTGGTGGTGTTGCTGGTGGACGTCCTTTTGAGTGGCCCTTAGGCGGTGTAACTGGCGGCTCTTGCTGCTCGTTATAGCGAGACTTTCCTTGCTCGTGATACCGAGACTTTCCCTTGCCTTGACCGGGAGCTTGCCATTCTGCGGACTGGCCCCTTGAAGATTGCTCGTGATATCGAGATTCTTCATCTTGGCGATATCGCCTTGGCGGTCGAGCAGTCATTCGGGTACGGTGATTTTTCAGCGCTCGCTGTTTCATCATTGCGACGAGGGGCGACTGCCAGCCTGCGTCTTTTGCACCGAGCCCGATATCGTGGTTCACAGAACTTCCTAGATACCTTAATTAGTTATATACCTTAATTAGGGTATCTAGCCCTTTTTAGATACCTTAATTAAGGTATCCAGATTTAGCTCTAGATGCTTTAATTAAGGTATCTAGTTTTCTGATATCTTTCTTGCGTTTTTGAATGTTATGCCATATGGCGGCAATAGATGGAAGTTGCAATGATGGACATGTATTTATACATGCTGCAGCCTCCCCAGGGAAGGCTGACATGAAATATGCAGAGCTGGAACAAGAACCATATGGACTTTGTTTAGCACCATGATCTTTGGAAGGTCTGCAGTTCACAAGTTGAAGGTAAGCCAAGGCATTGACCTTTCAGCCAATCATCATCGTTGGCTTTTTGGTTTATCCCTTTGTGGGTGCTGCTGGCCTGTTGCTTGAAGCATGGCAACTCGTTTGGAATGACTTCTTTTTGCCCTACTTGCCAAGATGATTTCTTTATTCGGTGCCTTCATGGCCCAAGATTCTAGGAAGCTTAGACAATGAGAAGGGCCAAGGATGAGTTGAAGAAGAAAGGCTGACAACCCAGTTCAAATTTTTGTACAGAATTTCAACGCTGGAGCTCTGGGCAATTCTTTTGGAAAAGGTTGAATTGCCTTGCCAGCTTGTGCTTTTTGTTTATTGAAAACTTTTTGTTTTTGAAAATCATGTCACAGCAAAGAGACAAATAGTTCAAACATGTTTTGTGGAGGTAGTGCTGTGTGATTTCATGGGGTATCATTTCCTGAGGTAGTGAATAGCTATATTGGAATAAGCATGTATGCTGATATATTTGTATATCTTAACACATGCGTATACACATGCACATGTCCAGTGTTTTAATCACTGAGATTAAAGCAATGGACATGTGCATGTGTATATGCATGTTTTGCCAGACACTTGGAAGCCAACCACACCAAGGCAAGTGACAACCACTGACAAACAAAGCCCAAGCTGAACTTGCCAGGTGTCATCTGGTGGACCCTTTGGTGCTGGAACTCAATGTCACAGGGGGGTGCTGGGTCAGGGTGGGTTGCAAGTGGGTGTGTGGAATTAGGAAATGATATTTCAAAGTTCATATTTATAGGTGAATCTATATTGCTCAAATATTGGGTTGACAAGAAGGTTTGCTGTTGTCTCAGAAAGAAATGTTTGGTTTTGTGTTTGTTTTTTGTTTTAGGTGTCTAGGATCAGTTGGTTGGTAATTGGTTTCATTTCTTTTGTCTTGAAGCAGTACCTCCTTAGAGGAGGTACCTCTTTTGCCTTGAAGTAGCAATCTCCTCAGAGGAGGTAGCTGTAGCTTAACCGGTGCTGTTTTTTTCTTCACCTTCACCTTTGGTTCCTGGGTCAGACGCACTATACCTTGGTCTGGCTGCACCACAGCATGGCTCTTGACCCAGTTGGGGGGTGAGGGTGTGCCTGGAAGATTGCCTTCATTGTGATTCTTGTTCGTGTTAGTAGGCGCATTCATGAGTTTAAATGTGATTTGGTTTGAAGATTCGGTCATGTTTTGTGCTCTCCTTTGAGGAGAGCAGTGCATGATTGTATATTTGAGCTTCAAGATATCTAAGATATATAATTTGAACCTTTTTTTAGGAGGGTTTCTAAGAAGTTGCATGTACCTCATGGCTGCTGATGGACTCAGTTTTTTTGTTCTTGTAATTTTGGTTCAAGAGCAAGTGAGTAAGGTGAACTATTTGTGAATGGGAGGCCATGAATTTGCTACCATGGCAAACCCAGAGGAAGAGCTGAGAGAGGAGGTGGCAGTTTTGGCAAGTCATGCTTCTGGGTCAGTGTCTCCAAGTGCCTAGTCTCACCTCGTTTCAGTCTCGAAACGATTGCATGATTCAGAGTTTTCTTGCTGCTAAATTTTTTGAAACATTTTTTTTTGACAAACACGGTCAAAGGGCCTCGGCTGCCGCCCGTGTTTTTCAGACTGATGTCTCCAGGACGGGGTCAGCCCCAAGCGATGGATCATAGTTCACACTAGTCACCTGCTGGTAGTTAACTTTTGCCAGTCGCATTTGCCATTCATCTCCAAGTGACGGATTCTTAGTCAAGGGACGGATTCAGACCCATGTGACGGATCATACATGACAACAGTCACTTAGATGGTTGTTTTTGGCATGCGGCTGATACGGCGCCCTTGGAAGGGTTGCCAATTTTGAGATGTGCCATTTACGATCCCTTGGAAGGGTTGCAAATTTCAAAAATGAGGCTTGCAGAAAAGGGGGGTATAGGATTTGATTTTTTTGAGTTTTTATCATGTTGCACATGCTGTCGTATGATCATCAGGGGGGTGGGGGTAGGGGGTGGGGAGGGTGTATTAACGTTCTTGACGAGCACTTCCTTTACGTTACGGAAGATGCACACGTTGCGCATGCTGTCGTATGATCATCAGGGGTGGGGTGGGGGTGGGGGGTGGGGGGGGTGTATTAACGTCCTGACGAGCACTTCCTTTACGTTACGGAAGATGCAAACGTTGCACATGCTGTCAGTTGCGTCAAAGATTATCCCCACAAAAGGTTCAAGTTGGCCCAAGTCAACCACAAACAAAATATCTTTACTAAGACTAAGACTTATCATTTTCGAGGTCGTTTGTGGGATAAATCCTATAGAGCCATTGTTGGTGGTACCCGACAAATGGATGGAACATGGAAACACTTGAAAAAATGGCGACCTCCGTCGATGCTCCGCAAAAAAAAACCAAAACGTGTACAAAAAAAGGTACACTTGGGCCTACAGCTGGACATGGCGTCACAACGCTGCCTTGTTGCAGACTGTGGCTTCTGCATTGCCACAAGCGCTCTGGCACCGCTAGCGTCGAGAAGAGGAAAAAACTGGAAGAGTGAATGTCGCCATATGTCGCCCTGATATGATTCGGATGATTGAAAGTCATAAATTTCTAATGTTTTTTTCTTGACCCTTCAAGAGCAAAATCGAGTCACCGCGCAGGCGAAACGCACATTTTCACTCTTGAGTCACACGCCTGCCAATCGAAATGAATGTCCATGTTGCAAACATTTTTTGACGACTCCTGCAAATACCAGCATTTTGTCTCTTAGCCTCAAAAATCAGAATTTCAAATTCGTCACCCTTACAAGGGCGCCGAGTCAACCGGTTGCCTTGTTTTTCGATTGGGTCTCAAGTGACGGATTTTCCTCCATGTGACGAGGTTTAAGGAGGAAATTTGGTGACATCATTTTCTGTACTACCTGAAGCTCCAAATCAGCCAAATGGGACTCGTCCCATGTGACCAATGTACGGTTACATTCGTCACATCCACCGAAATCCGTCACTCGCTGCAAAATCTGTCACATGGCCCCGGCCCATAGCAAAGCCAAGCTTTGCACAGGCCAACAGATATAGCTTGACTCCCAAGGTCCAACAAGGACTTTTCTCAGGTTCCGTGAAGCCAAATTTGACGGGCGCTTAGTGACAGTAAATCCCGTGAGTGTGAGTGAGCGCCGGGGCTTTGATGTCTTCAGTTTGATTTTCGAGCGCAGGAGGTAGGAATGATATCTTGCAGGGAAAGATTGCTCAGGTGTTCAGTGAATAGTCGTGTTGGGTTGGTTTGATGTTTTCAAGTTTAGTGTTTTTGCCGACATTGGCTTGACGAGAGATTTTGTGCATTTGCATTCTGGTTAGCAGCACGGTTCAATCTCTTGTAGAGCTTGTTGAGACTTTTCCATTGGGAATGGCGCCGGCCAAACGCAAGTCTAGTGGTGGGGCTGGTGGTTCAGAGGCTAAGGCTGCTCGTGGGGGCAGCCTGAAACGACTTTGCAACACTGATGACCTGGCCAAATACCCGCACGTTACTGCCTTGACTGCTTGGTACCTTGTCAAACAAAACCAATCATGTTGGCTTGAGATGATATGTTGGTTGTTTGCCGAGTTCGTGCAGGGATCGACATTTTGATTTGAGAGTGACTGTCGTGCACCTGGGACATTAAGTGCCGAATGCTTTCCAACAACCTTTCATTTCATCGCCGCCCATCAGGCTTGAAGAGAAGGTCTTTGCTGAATCTGGCGGCCCTGACCGATATCTGTCCAAAGTTTGCGACACGAAGGCGGGTTTCCTTCACGGATTTGTTTTACAAAATCACCTTAGGCTCATGCCCTTCCATGTTATGTAGTGAGCCAGTGATTCCCGTGATGTTTCCAGTTGCCCGGGCCCGGCGAGCCTACTTCCAATAGCAGAAGATGCTGGACTTTGCCGACTGGCTGGACAATTTCTGCCCAACCAGCCCGAGGCGATTTCTTTCTGTATCTTCAGCTGGCCGACGCGCTTCACATGAACGTTTTGATTTGCAACTGTTCGCCGCCAAGTTTTGATTGCTTCCAACAAGGTTTCATGTGTACCTTGATCAGGGTGGCCTACGCTGTGGACTTTGAAAGCCACAATTGCCTGAGACCTTATCATTTGAGCTGGCGCCATGACACTGGCTGCTCCGGTTTTCTTGGGCCAGAGCAGGCGTGTCACATGATGGAAATTATGGTGACCGAAGGGTTTCTTTGCCCAGTTGGGTTCATCTATGCTTTTGCAAAAACTTGGACCTGCGTCATTGTTTTGTGAGAAGATTTGGGCATGTGGGTGCTGCGTGCTTTTTCGTTTATGTGAGGTTCCGTTCCAACCCAGACCATGCGGGCTGCGAAAAGTTGTCGGTGACGAAGATTCCTGCCCAGTACTTGGATTCTGAGTACCCGCAGCTGCAGAGTTTGAACGGCAACTTGCGTGAAATCGAAAACTGAAATGTTCAATTGAATGGGTTTTTGCATTGAAGATGCCATGTGTCGGTGTGCCCGTTGTACTACATTCCTTTGTGACGCTTGGTTGTTCTTTGATGCCCGAGGTAACCAGCTGATTCCTCCGTTTAGCATTGGCGATGTTAAGGGCTGGAAACGTGCAGTCATGGCTTTGGTATGTTTGCACGGAGTCAAAGAGATGCAGCTGACGGAACAGGTTGATCACATGGTGAAGGCCAGCCTGTTTGCTTGACGTTCCTTCCATGAATCTGCTTACAAGAGTTTCCATTTTTTGGGTGTACAGCTGAACAATCAGAGCCAGTGTTCTTTGATACGCAGCGGGGACCTGAACTATAGTGGCCGGATGCTTGTTTGGCGTTGCTTCAGTTGGCGCGCTGCCGTTGTGAGGCGTCCTTTGGTTGCATCTATGCTTCGTTTGGTGCATTCCAGGATGTGCGCTCTCAAGTGCACGCCAATCGAGGCGCGGAAGCCAAAAACCATCATTGTTTGTGTTTCTGGACCATGGCTTTTCCTTCATGCCATGTGCCGCCCAGCATGTTTCACACCATGTGCCGCCGTGCTAAGGATCACACATGGTGGACCAGGCCACGCGTGTGCGTGCAAATTGCTTCCATTCTGCAGCGGGCTGGAGGCGGTACAGTAGAGACGCAGTTTGCTGCGCCCCGTTTGCGTCATCAGTGGTTGAGAACACACATGCTGTGTTCAAGTGTCGGATTTTGAAAGTGCTTAACCCTTGGGTGCTCCACGGCTGAAGACAGAGTTCCCTTCATCCGCAGTCAGGAATGGAAGGACACAAATGCTGTTGCCAAGTGCTTTTCCATCGGGAAGCAAGAAGCAGCAGCAGTATCGAATTTGATGAGCAAGATTAGCCCAAAGGTGGTCACGTTCTTGACTGACAGCATTCGATCGCGCGGAATGTCGAAGTACATCCAGCATGGCTCATTGGCAAGGATCTTTTGAACAGGCATTGGACTTCTGGCACCCAAGGCTTTGAGCAGTGGAAGGAAGAGTTCCGCAACAATGATGATGACAAGCTTGTGCCTTTCGCATTCCTTGGCAGTTTTGTTGTAGTTTTTTGTGGCGCGTTGTGGATCTTAGCTCCTGGTGCCAAAGAGGCCACTACTTTTTTTGGAGCAACTGCTAGGTTTCCTTGTTGTCGAGTTATTTTTGGAGATATTTTGTGAGCCTGATCTCTTCTTGTCGAGCAGCCCATCCCCTGAGGTGTTGCTATTTGTTTCCAGACTGCAAACAGATTTCGATGCAACTCCGCCAGCCTTGCGCAAAGCTTGCAGCTTCAAGGATGGCCTCAGCAAACATCAGGGCTGTGGTGCCCATTTTTTGAGTGTGCTTCAGCGCATGAGCCCCCCAGCCGAGTTCAAAGTGGCAGAGGAGAGCTTGCGTGCCCAGTTCATGAAAAGCTTCATGGATCCGGACCTTTCTCATGCCATCAAACAGCAAGTTCCACGTGGCGACTTGCATGCCATCGCTGCTTTTCGGTCCTTCGCTGCGGACATGGAAAATTCCTCGCGGCTTGCAAAGGAGAGAAAGGATGAAGAGTTAGCCCCGCAGCTCAGGCTGGCCGACTGCAGCTCCGTGATGGCAAAGTTGGAAGCAGACTTGCAGATCCTCAAGGACAGAGAGGGGGATCAAACTGCCCAGGCGATCAAGAACGCCAAGGACATGAAATATCTTCGAGATAGACAAAAGATTCTAGGCAAATACCAGTTCCACAAATTTTCTATTTGAGGGACCGTCTGAGGGACCCTGTTCAGAAAGATCCCATCCATTTCCAGTGGGTCCAACGCTCAGCTTGCAAACTTGACTTGTACCCTGTGCCTGTCCGGCTTCGCAAGGAAAGGCCATGACTTTGTGCACTCGTGGATGTCAGAGCATTGTGTCTTGAAGCTGGTCGATGAAAAGTTTGACGGCGCAGTGGCTGAATACTTGAAGTTCAAGGAGCAGTGGCGTGGTTTTGCTGGGTCGGAGCAACTTGTTTGCAGATTTTTTTGGTGCTGGTTTCTTTCAAACAGAGTTGTGAGTGACAAGCGCCAATCTTTCATCATAGTCGGGCTGCAGCTGGTTGATCGTTCAGTCTAGAGTCCAGAGTCTTTTGGTTCAGTCTAGGTACACCAGTTGCAGCTTTGACAGCATTGTGTGGCCGTCGAATGGAGTTCTGGTTTCTAATGGCATGGGCCTTGTGACCTCGATTCTGTCCATGTCTTCGGCCAACATGGCGTGGGTGCGGTATCCTCTGATGCAGTCGCAGACCACACTTGCCGCGTTGATGAAACATCGACACGCTTTGGAGAAGACATGTTCCTGAAGGACAGGTTGAATTGCCAGAATGGCGTTCAGATCTTGTATACACCAAACCTGAGTTGAGTGCGCGTGATCAAAAGTCGTTGAGCCAACCAGCCGCCGGTCTTTTTCATGGAAACTTTGCCGAGCCTTTCTTTGCCGACCCCATGGCCATCAAGGAGGGGAAGCTGGGGCCAAGCCCGGCTTCGACGACGAGACTCGCCCGGGCCCATCTGCCAGAGTGGAGCAGTCACTCGTAGGCAAAAGTTCCTTTGCACCACGCTGCGCAGCCTACCCATGCTGCGATGTAACACAAAAACATCACCACAAACCATAACCACACTCCATCAGCACATGACATTCTTCTGACTAACCTATCTTCAGACATCCTCAACAACTTCTCGGCTCCGACCGCCCAGCCTCCACAAGCAAGAATGCCAAGGCTGAAACCCTGGACTTACAATCCAATTCAAACCACGAAACATTTATTGTGTTCAGTAAAATGTTTTGTTGGTGCACACACTTTTTTTGGCCACGAACTGCGTTCAACATCCGGTTATTGTTGCTGGTGCGTCCTGCGTCAAGTACGTTGCTGTTGCTGTGGCTGTTGCATCCCATTGTTCGAGCCATTCACAACAGGGCCGCCCAGATAATAGCACTTCGACACCAAATGTTCTTGCATACCCTCAGTCATCATGCGGCTGGCATAAGCAGTGATATAAATACTTAACGTATATTTTGTCTGACACATCTACAGATACATCTTTCTGACATTCTTTCCGACATTCTATCTGGCACATCTTCTCTCGACCTCCCCATCTATCTCGCATATCTAGCATATCTTCTGACATTCTATCTGGCATATCTTCTGACATTCTATCTGGCATATATTCTGACATTTTTTCTGGCATTCTATCTGGCATATCTTCTGACATTCTATCTGACATATCTTCTGACATTCTTTCTGGCATATCTTCTGACATTCTGTCTGGCATATCTTCTGACATTCTTTCTGACATTCTTTCTGGCATTCTATCTGACATATCTTCTGACATTCTATCTGACATCTTTTCTCACATTCTTCCCGTTGAGGTCCGGCAGTGCCCACTGCGATCTGGAAGTCGCGGTTGAGGTCCGGCAGTGCCCACTGCAACCTGGAAGTCGCGGTTGAGGTCCGGCAGTGCCGACTGGGATCTGGAGCTCGCGGTGGAGGTCCGGCAGTGCCCACTGGGATCTGGCGCTCGCGGTGGAGGTCCGGCTGTGCCCACTGGGATCTGGACTGCGAGGAGGAGGAGGCGGAGGAGGTGGAGGAGGCGGATGCGGAGGCGGAGGAGGAGGAGGAGGAGAACAGCTCTGATAAAATCTAACAACCCTCACCTGGCAGGTGGGGAATAAATCCCCCATCGAATTTCAGGTGAGACGTTGTGACCCCTGGTCTGTATGTTATAAGAAATTATTCGCAAGCTTGGGGCTATAGAATGAGGTTGCTGAGCTCCATTTTTCCCCAACATAGCCTTAGCTACAAAATGCCCCTTCGTTTCAACAACCTTGACATAGGGGGAGGATTTCCCTTGTTACAAAATGCCCCTTCGTTTTCAACAACTGTATCATACAAGGACATAACCTTTGATAAGCCAGCATGAAGCTCATCATGTCATGCTACAAAATGCCACTGCGATTTTCATGAGGGGCTAACATGACTAAAATGACTCCGTTATAAAATGAGATTCACAAGTTTAAGCCACAAAATCTTGGACCTGGATTTCATCTCAGGGCTAGCCTGACTAAAATGGAAGCCTCTGTATAGTGCTTGTGGCCACAAACTTTGCAGCTTAAATTCGCAGGGGGATACAAATAAGTTATCGAAGTTATGACTTAGATAGTTTTTCCTTAACTTGTAACTTTCAGCGTAAGTGCTTTAAGTCCGAAAACTTAGTTGTAAGCGCCATAACTTCCCTGGCCTTAGCTGCTTATGGGTTGAGCTCGGGAGTTCGCAGTTGGGGCGCGGCTGATCAGGTCAGGCATCGCTAACTGCGATCAGCTGAGACTGTGATCGGAAGTGGAGCTGGCGGTTCAGGTCCGGCAGTGCCCACTGAGATCGGTTGAGGTCCCCGTCCACTGCGATTCAATCTTTCAGTCTGTGATTCAATTTGTGAGTCAACCTGTGATTCAAGTCTGACATTCTACTTGTGATTCAATCTGTGGTTAAGATAAAGGGGGGGAGGAGAGGAAGGAGGAGAAGGAGAAGAGCTCTTTTAAAATCTAGCAACCTTCACCTGACCTGTGGGGAACTGTGCTTTTCAAAAATCAACAACACGAGCTGTCAATCAAAAATGCGCCAATTGCCACCAGTTCTCAACGCTTGGATCGCTCCACTTTGAAACCCGGAGTTCACAAAGAGTTTCACCGTGATGCTGCGCATCTGGCGGAAGTGGGACAGCTCCTGCCACGACAATGTCGGGATGACACCGCACAAGCAGCTACATGTTGGGCGATCTATGATGGGCCAGCCAATGCGCGCATGGGTCTGAAGTTCTGGCGGCCCACAAAATACCAGGGTGGCCCGAAACAAAGGAGGAAAAAGCAACAGGTACAGGAACGAAAGAAAGGCCCCACATGTGAAGTCTACTTGTGTGAGTTGAGTTGTGTGTGAGTTAAGTTGCGCCAGTTGAGTTGTGTGAGTAAGGTGGTGTAAGTCTGAGTTACATTGTGTGAGTTGAGTTGTGTGAAATGACTTGTGTAAGTTAAGTTGTGTAGGTTGAGAGGTGTAAGTTGTTGATGTGTGACTTGAGTTGCGTTACTTGCTTGGTGTAAGTTGAGTTGTTTAAACTGAATTAAATAAGTTGAGGGGTGTAAGTTGCACAAGGCGAGATGTGTGAGTTGAGTAGCGTACGTTGAGTTACGCGATGTGTGAGTTGAGTTGCATGAGCTGAAAAGCGTGGGCCGAAGCAGCTCCAGGCACACAAAGCGACATCTGCCCCGCAAAACCGCGCCGCGACCCAAGCAACCCAGCGCGCAGCAGCTTCTCCAGAGCAGTCAAAGCGGCGGTTGTGCCACGCCAACAAAAGCAGCTCCAGGTGCACAAAGTAAGGCGCCTGCCGCGCAAGAGGTGCACAAAGCGCTGCACCTGCCACGGAAAAACGCGCCGGGATGCAAGGCAACCAGGCGCGCAGCAGGTTCTCCACGCAAAAAAGCAACTCCATGGACAAAGCGCTGGGCGCTGCACCTGTCATGCGGCCAACCGGCGACCGAGCGCGCAGCAGCTCCAGACACCTGCCGCCTGCAACCCAAAAGCTCTGCGGGCCAGCGGTGTGCCAGTCAAAGCCCTGCACCTGCCACGCAAAAGCAGATGCGGGAGCGCGAGCTGTGTGACTTGAGTTGTGGGAGTTGAGTTGGGGGGTTGGGTTGTGTGAGCTGGATGGTGTGAGTCAAGTTGTGTGAATTGAATTGTGCAAGTTGGGGTGTGAGTTTGAGTTGATTTTTGCTTGTATGCGAACTACATGGAATGGAGAGGAGCGGCGGGATACACATGTAAAAACAAAAACCCCACACAAAGATGTGGGGAAAAATGGAAGTCTTTTGAACAATGTGAGCTGAACCGACCCAAACATGGAAAAAAACAACACAAAGATGTGTGGCTTGAAGCAGCCCAAGCGCACCTGCCACGCAGAAACGCGCCGCGGCCCAAGGCGACCAAGCAGCAGCCAACAGCAGCTCTAGGCGCACGAAGCGCTGCACCTGCCACGCAAAAACGCGCCGCGACCCAAGGCGACCAAGCGCGCGTCAGATACTCACCTGAGCACCTGAGCACCTGCCAATCAAGTACTGCGCCTGCCGAAAGAGCTCGCGACGAAGCACATAGCAGATTCTCCAAAGCGGTCCAAGCACTGCACCTGCACCTGCCACGCAAAAGGAGCTGCGGGAGCACCAAGTACTGCGTCTGCCACTCAAGAGCTTCGCGGGCCAGCGGCAACCAGCGCGCAGCAGCTTCGCTAGAGCAATCAAAGCGCTGCACCTGTCATGCAAAAGGAGCATCAGCTGCACCAAGCACTGCGCCTACCACGAAAAAGCTCCGCGGGCCAGGTGCGAGCAAGCGCGCAGCAGCTTCTCCCAGAGCGGTCAGCGCTGCACCTGCCACGCAAAAGCAACTGCGGGAGAACGAGTCAGCGGTGTAAGTTGAGTTGTGTAAGTTGAGTTGTGTGAGTGGGCAGTGTGGGTTGAATTGTGTAAATTGAGTCGCGTCAGTTGAATGGTGTGAATCAAGTTATGTGAGTTGGGTACTGTGAGTTGAGTAAGTTAAGTCTTGTGAGTTGAGTTGTGTGACTTGAGTTGTGGGTATTGAGTCGTGTGAGTTGGGTTGTGGGCGTTTGGGTTGTGTGAGTGCTATAAGTTGTGGGAGTTGCGCGGGTCAAGTTGTGTGAGTTGAGTTGTGTGACTTGGGTTGTGTAAGTTGGGGGGTGTAAGTTGGGGTGTGTAAGTTGGGGTGTGTGAGTTTGAGTTGAGTTGCGCGTGAGTTATAAGTTGAGCTCAGAGTTAATCGAAGAGGAAGAGCGAGGAGGAGAAGAGAAGCGGCGGGACGCAGACGTAAAAATAAACAACGACACAAAGATGATGATGCTGATGCTGCTGCTGCTGCTGCTGATGATGATGATGAGGACGCTCAAAAAGGTAATCGACAACGACGATCGCAAAGGTGTTTGGGCGATGAGGACGGCGCTGATTGCTGATGATTTCGATACCCGTGATCATGATCACGACGGAGATGAACACACCGACGGCTATGAAAATGATCATGGCATATTGTGAAGCCACCCCGACACTGAACAACATGTAAAGATATATGTGTATATGTTGGAGGGTTCGTCGTCTATCTATCCTATTTTTTTAAAGCAATACATATTGCAATACATACAAGTTTTCACCACATGGACTGAAGGGGCTGAGGGTCCACAATTTGTCCACGAATTTGGCCGAATGTTGCCATCAATTGTCCACATACTCTGCTACACCTTGGCATGAACTCCACATATTTTCTCACATGTTGGCGTTTATTATCCCCATCTGGTGCACTTCGGAGAGTCCTGTCCTAGGAAAATATCGCGATTAATATTTGGGGTCCTGACCTTTTTGAGATTAAAATCCTGGTGCCTGACCTTTCTTGCCGGAATTTATCGTCTCAGACGAATAAAATTTGCAGGCACAAATTTCCTGATGCCTAAGGTTTCCAGAAAGGAATTTCTGCCCCTCTGTTATTAATTTAATTCCTGGGTGTCAACCCTCAAACAATGCTCAACAAACCACCCCTCAACATATGCTGTGAATAGACTAATTTCCTGGGACCCAAGATTTGCATATGAATGTTTCGAGCCCATGACAGGTTCGAGTGGGGGCTATCTGACTGAAGACGACCCCAAAACATTTTCTGGGCTGCAAGGATCACAACTTTAGCAAATAACCCGCGCCTGGAACATATTAAATCGTGGATCCGAACGTTTCCAGCTCATTTTTTTGTGTTGGCAAAGCTGAACATATGTGTTTGCACCCTTTTGCATGGACAAATGTATCCTCAGAAAAAAATGCCGGTTTTGCAACATGGGCGCGCGTTGACACAAAATTGTTGAATTTGACCCATCATTTCCTATCTATGGATGGTTGGCTTGGTGATGCGACTTTTTTCCTGTGGGGCCAACCTTTGAAGATCATCCGCATGTATTCAGCCAAAAAAGGCCCAGCCCCTTGGAATTTATTTTTGACACCTGCGCCTCGGCCTCTTCAAGTCACCTTTTTTGGTTGGTGAAGCTGTAGACTTTTTCAAGGGCAAATGTATGTTCAGCAAAAAAAACAGTGTTTTGGATTTTGGGCGCGCGTTGGCGTTGACACAAAATTCTTGAATTTGTCCCATCATTTCCTATCTATGGATGGTTGGCCTGGTGATGCGACTTTTTTCCTGTGGGGCCAACCTTTGAAGATCATCCGCAGGTATTCAGCCAAAAAAAGGTCCAGCCCCTTGGAATTTATTTTTGACACCTGCGCCTCGGCCTCTTCAAGTCACCTTTTTTGGTTGGTGAAGCTCAACATATGTGGTTGTAGCCTTTTGCAAGGACAAATGTATGTTCAGCAAAAAAACATGTGTTTTGCATTTTGGGCGCGCGTTTACACAACATTATTGAATTTGTCCCATCATGTCCTATCTATGGATGGTTGGCCTGGTGATGCGACTTTTTTCCTGTGGGGCTAACCTTTGAAGATCATCCGCATGTATTCAGCCAAAAAAGGTCCAGCCCCTTGGAATTTATTTTTGACACCTGCGCCTCGGCCTCTTCAAGTCACCTTTTTTGGTTGGTGAAGCTGAACATATGTGGTTGTAGCCTTTTGCAAGGACAAATGTATGCTCAGCAAAAAAACATGTGTTTTGCATTTTGGGCGCGCGTTTACACAACATTATTGAATTTGTCCCATCATGTCCTATCTATGGATGGTTGGCCTGGTGATGCGACTTTTTTCCTGTGGGGCCAACCTTTGAAGATCATCCGCTTGGATCTTATTTTTGACACCTGCGCCTCGACCTCTTCAAGTCACTGTTTCAATGTTTGTGAAAATGAACACACCTATTCGTACCCCTTTGCAAGGGCAAATGTATCTTCAGTAAAAAAACACGTGCTTTGCCTGCTTTGCAATTTGGGCGCGCGTTGACACATTTTTTGGAATTTATTCCTGATGTCTAACCTATGCACATTCAGCATTATAATCATTATAGCACCATTTCCACAGATTTAAATCCTGGTTCCCAACCTTTTGGAGTCATGTAAAGAACCATACCCCCTCAAACAATCATGGGACATTTTTTTCCTGGGGTTTGACGTACATATATGTTCTAGTGAACTCCCCCCCCATGAACATTACTTTCCTGTGGCCGGACGTTTGTAAAATAATTTTGAAATATTTTGAACCAAAATTATTTTCCTGGGTTCGAAGGGACGCATGGGTTAGCATGTGCAAATCGGTGATTTCAAAATTATTAATTTTGATAGTGAACTCCCAGGAAAATAATCTGCATCACCAGGTGGGGACGTTTATTGTCCACAAAAACTCCCCCAATGTCCACAAAAAAGGTGCCTAATGTCCACAAAAAAGGCACGCAATGTCCACAAAAAAGGTACGTAATGTCCACAAAAAATGGGCCTATTGTCCACAAAAAACGTTCCTAATGTCCACAAAAACGGTGCCTCATGTCCACAACAAAACATGTGTAAAGTCCACAAAAAAAACAAAAGCCACACGAGAGACATTGTGCTAACATTGACACGGACATTGTGCAGACATTGGTGCGGAAATTCCGGACATTGGTGCAAACATGGGTGCAGACATTGTGGCCACATGGGTGCGGACATCGGTGCGGACATTGTGTGGACATTTGTGTGGGCATTGGTGCGGACATTGTGTGGACATTTGTGTGCACATTGGTGCGGACATTGTGCGGACATTTGTGTGGACATTGGTGAAGACATTGTGTGGACATTTGTGTGGACATTGGTGCGGACATTGTGTGGACATTTGTGTGGACATTGGCGCGGACATTGTGTGGACATTTGTGTGGGCATTGGTGCGGGTGGATGTCACCAAGTGCCACGCCTGCCACGTAAAGTGCCGCGGCGTCACGCGCGACTAAACCGGGCCCAAGCGGGCCACCGAGTGCCATGAGTGCCACGCCTGCCACGCAAAACGACCGTGGATGTCAGATTGTACCACGCCTGCCACGTGAAACGAAGGTGGATGTCACCAAGTGCCACGCCTGCCACGCAAAGTGCCGCGGCATCACGCGCGACTAAACCGGGCCCAAGCGCGCCACCCAAGTGCCACGCCTGCCACGCCAAACGACGGTCGTTGTGAGTTTGTGCCGCGCCTGCCACGTGAAACGAAGGTGGATGAAAACAAGTGCCACGCCTGCCACGCAAAGTGCCGCGGCGTCACGTGCGACTAAACCGGGCCCAAGCGCGCCACCCAATGCCAAAAGTGCCACGCCTGCCACGCAAAACGACCGTGGATGTCAGATTGTGCCACGCCTGCCACGTGAAACGAAGGTGGATGTCACCAAGTGCCACGCCTGCCACGCAAAGTGCCGCGGCGTCACGCGCGACTAAACCGGGCCCAAGCGCGCCACCCAATGCCACAAGCGCCACGCCTGCCACGCCAAACGACGGTCGATGTGAGTTTGTGCCACGCCTGCCACGTGAAACGAAGGTGGATGTCACCAAGTGCCACGCCTGCCACGCAAAGTGCCGCGGCGTCACGTGCGACTAAACCGGGCCCAAGCGCGCCACTCAATGCCATAAGTGCCACGCCTGCCACGCAAAACGACGGTAGATGTGAGTTTGTGCCGCGCCAAACGACGGTCGATGTGAGTTTGTGCCACGCCTGCCACCGAGTACCATAGTACCATAAGTGCCACGCCTGCCACGCAGAAGAGTTGTGTGTGAAGTTATTGTGTGTGAAAGTATCGTATGTGACATTATTATATGTTAAGTTTGTGTGTGTAGTTATTGTATGTGAGAGATGGTATGTGACAAAGTTGTGTGTGTGTGTGATGTGTGTGAGTGTGTGTGAAAGTATTGTATGTGAAAGTATTGTATGTGAAATTATTGTATGTCAAGTTTCTGTGTGTGAAGTTGTTTGTGAAGTTATTGTGTGTGAAAGTATCGTATGTGAAATTATTATATGTTAAGTTTGTGTGTGTGAAGTTGTTTGTGAAGTTATTGTGTGTGAAAGTATCGTATGTGAAATTATTATATGTAGTATCGTACGTGAAATTATTATATGTTAAGTTTGTGTGTGTAGTTATTGTATGTGAGAGATGGTATGTGGGAGGCGGCGGGAGGCGGCGGGAGGCGGAGGAGGAGAAGGAGGAGCCCGGGATACAGAATCAAAAACAAGAACCCCACACAAAGTTGTGGGGAAAAATGGACATGATTACGCGCAGGTCCACTGCGTAAGCCTTATTTCGGCACACGCTATTTTGCTCGCTGACAGGTACAAAAAACAGAACGGCCGAATCAATAATATTGGTAACTACTTGTCAAAGAGAGGCCGCAGCGATTTCCAAAAACGATTGCATGCACGGTGTCCTCCAGCGTCAAATTTCGAGTGGTATACAGCACCAAGTCTGCCATCTGCAAAAGGCGCAAACGGGGTATACCGAATTCCCAGCAATCGAAAAAACCTCAGGCGCACTGCCATTGCAACCAGCAATTCTGTGGAGAAACAGCAAAATTGAATTTTTCCCTGCTGTCAAATGGAAAAAACAGAATGAAACCCACGAGCCCGAACGCTGTCACTTTCCTACATATGTCAAAGTAAAGCCAGATTTCACTTTTGTAACGTTTCCGGCGCATCAAATCCGCCTGCCGGTCACACACGCATAAAGTCTCATATCCGCGTCATGTGTCTTTCCATGAATGAAGCCAACGCCAAAGACCACAATCTTTAAAACAGACTGACAAGCGTCACTCTCAACACGGCGAGAAGGCACAACCAAGCCTGAAGGTTTTTTATTCGTAAGCATCTGCAAACAAGGCGAGCCGCAGCAGCCAATAAGTCAGACTTGCCTTGCCACCGCAGTCACTTTGTACAAACGTGACGTTCAACCACATTCACGTGGTGAAACAAACATGACTGACGTCTAAGCCGCTCATGTTCACACACGTCACACGTATGCCAAAATGCAATCTGCTATTTCTGTATACGCAAGCCTTTGTCTTCAGTCTTCATAAGTCGTCTTCAGCCTGACACGGCAGCTACATGTCATTCGTGAGCCCAGCCTTGCGTAGCCACGCATAATCACAGTTGCAAGAACTCTGTCGCGGACATCGCTGTCCGACAAATCCAGCTACAGCTCCGTCAAGATGCAGCTACAGCTTCGTCAAGATGCAGCAGAACGGCTCGAGCGGCATAACAGGAATGTCATTCTATGTTTGGATCCCTTTGCAGTTTTCGCAGTATTCTGGACATGGAATGTTGCAACCCATCGCAAAGTCGTAGCACGTCAGTGTTATCAGCAGACTCGGCACGAATATCTTCTAGGTCCATTGCTTGCATCACAATAGTTTGCTTGTATCTCTCCTGGAACGGTCTGAAATACCGTAAGAGGTCATAGACTCCTCGGAATGAGTGATCCTAGAACGCCTGAGCAAACAGAAAACGCCAAACGCATCCAAGAGGAGGGTGAGCGTGTTGCTAGCTTCATCGGATGCATAAGGAGAGAAAAGCCGTTGGATCATCCGGAGAAAGACGACATTGCGGGAGAAGTTCGCTCAGGAATTACTTACGTAATCACGGACGTCCCATACAGCATCAGGACAACAGGTGGGTTCAGGGAAGATTTGTTCCTTGGTCTGAGCCATCTTGGGTGCTTAGATGTGCTGGGTGTTTATTAAGTAGTTAGTGATGTTTGTTAACATATTGTAAATCACATCTAAGTCATATGTAACCATATCTTAACTTCTTATAAATTTGTTAAATGTGTGAAAGGATTAGGTAAATTATGTGAACATGTTAAAGTTCCTAAGGAAAATTAAGGGAAAAATAAAGCTTTAGCTAAAGTTGTTAAAGTTTTTGCTAAAGCAGCTAAACTTGCTAAAGTTTTTTTTTCAAATACTAAGTATAATGCTTGACAATATGTATAGGTTGAGCCTGAAGGCTTGATGGCTGTCTGCATAGGTTGGGCCTGGATGGCTGTATGCGTGCAATAGGTTGAGCCATGATGGCTGCATGTTTGTTGGTTTGCCATGGTTGAGCCTTCATGGCTGCATGTTTCTTGCACTTTGTTGGTTTGCCATGGTTGAGCCTTCATGGCTGCATGTTTCTTGCACATGGAGATTGTGTGAATCTGTTTTCCTGCATGGTCCATGGTTGGGGCTTGTTTGATACTTGCTTTACATGTTTTTTGTCCACAGGAAGGAAACATAACTTGGTGTCAATTTGATATTTCCAGATGTAAGCAGCACAGGGAAGACATCACAGCACCACATATATACAGCCACAATTTTGCTTTGAGTTTCACAGCCACACGCCATGGCTTTGAGTGATCCAGTGAAAGCTGAAGCTGCTGCTATCATTGGTTCCAATGAGCCAGTGAACCTGAAGATGGTGCTGCTGAACCAGCTTTGGCTGAAGCATGGCCTTGCATCCCACCAAGTTGTCCCTCCTGGCAAACTCCTGGTGCATCCAAGTAACCGCGGTGGAGCAATGCTCAATGGGCATGATGTTTTAGCAAAGGGTGAAAAATTGATGAGCCAGGGGTTCAGACAGGATCTCTTGGAAAGCTCTTCAGTGGCCTTTGGCCTGTCTAGCCAGGTGGCCAAAAGGCAAGAGCAAATTGAAGCCAACAAGGTGCTGGTGGAGCAATTTCCTCAGGTTCTGGCACTTGTCCAAGGAGATGAACTGCACTTGACAGTTGGAGCTTCACACAGCACCAGTTTTTTGAAGGCAAACGCCATGTGTGGAGTTTCCAATGAATCTTTGAAAGGCATTTTGGAGAATGGCTGGAAATGGTTGAACTTGCCTGAATGCTTGGAAGAAAATTTCCCCACAATGCCCTTGCTGTACTCTGCTGCATTGAACAGCAGCAACAGTGCACAAGTGGCTGCCACTGAGTTGGAATGCTTGGCCACCATCATTAAATATATATCCAGTTGGGAAAGACCTTGGAAGCTGCTGTTGCCCAGACTGCCATGGGTGAGCCTCAATGCAAAGACTATTTGGGTGAAATAGCACATTTTGCTAAATTGTACACTGGAGGAGAGCAGATGCCCTTGGCAACCTTTCTGGTTGCTTTTAGCAAACTATTTGGAGAAAGCGCTTTGCTGGGTGAAGAGTTCATGAAGCTGTTGACTCACTATGACTTCAAGGTCAGTGGCAATTTATTGCCATGCTTCAGAGTGGCTGTGCTTGCTGCTCAGTTGACATCCAGCAAGATTGTGGACAAGATCAGCAAGCTGTTGGTGAAGAGTGATTTTGATCGCTTGAAAACCAAATGCGAAGCTGAGCTCCAAGATGCAGAGAAATTGCTAGCGGAAAAGGCCAAACACTTGGAAGAGCTGAAGAGGCTGCATGTTTTTGGTCGTCTTTGTATCAGAGTGGTGCTTTTCATTTGCCAGAAACAAAAAATGGGCAGGGAGAGCAAGACCTGGAAATCTTTGGAAGACATCAGAGACCAATTCGCTTCTGAAATGCTTTGCCCTCCTGACATCTCCAGTCAAGACAGTGGTGATGCACCAAGTCCTGCTGCAGCAGGAAGCCAGGAAGCTTTCCAAGACTTGTTGCAACCAGATCCTGTTGCAGTGGCATTGCTGCAGAACCAACATCTGGAGATTGGGAGCAATTATCAGGATCCCAAGGTGGGCAGCACCATTTATCAGCTCATGGAAGTGACCCTTGCTGGAGCTAAGTTCCTTGGATATTTTTGGGTGAAAGTTTTCTTTTTGGGGGTGGGGCCAATGTTAGTGCTTCTCCACAACTTGCACAAGCCTTTGGTCCACTGAGGTTTGAACATGTACCTCTGGTTGGGGCTGCCGATACCTTGGTGGTGCCTTTGGGAGATGAATTGAAAGATTGGAGAAAAAAGAAAGAAGACTTGCGGAAAAGCAGCTGGTGTACAAGCACCCTGGTATCCAAGAAAGCATCCAATTGCATTCAACCCAAGTGCAATTGCACAAGGCTTTCATGACTGGCCCTGTACTAAATGCCAAAGCAATTGGCTTTGTGGCAAATCCAGTGGGGGTCTGTGTCCTGCAGCATTTTGTTGCTGGATCTTTGGTTCTCAAACCTTGTGGACCCTTGTTCCTTGTCAAGGACCAGGACAAAGACAAGGTCAAAGTCATGGTGGGAAAATTTGGAGTGGATGCCCCCAAGATGATCTCTGAATTTGACAAGGTGGATGACAAAACTGTACTTGTACCATTTTGGTATGTGAAGCCCACCATGGATGAGGAGTTGGTCAACATGCAATTGGAAAAGGAACAATGTGGCAGCTTGGAGCTGCCTTGCTATGTGAATACCAAAGATTTGGAGCCAGGAGATTTGCTGCTGTGTGAGTCAGAGATGTTGGCCAAGAAAAGAAAAAAGCAGGAAGGAGAGTCAGGTGCCACTGCTGGATCAGCTGCCAAAAGTACCAGTGCCAAAAAAGTCATGCTGGACCTTGGGGATGTTTCACAGTTTCACCAGAATTGCAAGGACAGAGGAAGATGAGAAAACAACATCAGCACAGATGAATTGGAATCTCTGTGTGTGGGAGAGCCTTTGAAGGCTGTTTGATGTTGCTTTTGTGTAATTGTCCTCTGTACATTGCCATGTGGTCATTGTATGTTGCACTTGGAAACAATGTGGCTTCTCAAATTTGCCCCAAAGGTTTTAGCTGTTCCTCTCCTTGCCCATGGCCTTGGAAATCAAGCAGCTGACTTCCACCCAATGGAAAGGTATCAATGTGGTGATCCCTGAAGATTTGCTGCTGACCAATGTTGAAAACCAGACCTTTCTGAAGCTTCGACCTTCCCACCACAGCATCACCAAGCTGGTGTGTCCTGATTGCAAGAAAAAGAATTTGTCCTTGTCAGCAGGACCAAGGCTCATGAATTTGGTGTCCTTGGTACATGCGGAAAGCTTGGAGAAGGAGACCATGGCTGAAGGCCAAGAAGAAGGTGCTGAATCATTGTTTGGAAGTGAAGAGCAGAGACCAAAGAAGAAGCAGAAGAAAGAACGTCAGAAATTGTCAGAGGCATCTGTTGTGGTGACTTTGCCAGATGACTTTGGAAGTTTGACTGCCATGTGGCCTTCCAGCAAACATGCTGATGTGGCTATCCTTCTAGAAGCTTCCAATGTGCAGAAATGTTTGGAATGTTTGGAAGCTGATTGCTCCACATGTGCAGAAGGTGCAAAGAGATCTTACAACAAGAGTGGTAATTTTGTCAAGCCTATCTCTGACTAGAATGTCTTGGGCAATGGCTGGGTCAAAAAAGATGCTAATTGTCTGTGGCTGTGTGGAATATGAAGTTCAATATATGCTAAAAATTGTATTGTATAGCTGAGGGTTATGTTTCCTCATGGTGCATAGGAACATATGGAACAGTTGGCAGTTTAATTGCGTGGATAGGCTTGAGCCTTGTAAGGCTGCTCATTAAGGTTTTTCATGGTTTATGCTTGCAATTCATGTTTGGTGGCATGGAGCCTCAGGGCTGTTTGATTTCTTGATCTTGTTGTAAGCTGCTTGATTGTAAGTAGGTTAAGTTGACAATAATGATAGGTAGTATCCTCAGCAGTCTCACTTCTGCACAAACCAAGGAGCATCTCGAGAGTGCTCACTGGGACCTGGAAGTTGGCAGACTTCATGGTCAATGGGACCTGTCCTTTGAAGAAGGTGGACCAGGACCTTTGGATGTGGTACACGAAGCATGGGCCCAAGCAACCCTGTTGGTATGTGAGCGATCACTATGTGGAGGATGGTGGCAGCTGGAGCAATCGGAGGTGCTTGGCAAGGATTGCAGATGTCAACACGTCCCCTTCAGGTGACATCTTCATACCGCACCAGAGCCAGACAGCAGCCAATTGGGTCCTGACTGGAGCCAGTGTCTTCGTCCCCCAGATGACTTACTCACTTCTGCAAAGGTATGAAGCTGTGCTGCGACAGAACCAGGAGCTCAAGGTGGAAAACGCAAACTTGAAGCAGGAGAATGAAAAGTTGAAGATGCAGGCTGATCAACTGCAGTTGGAACTGCAACACCTTGAGAAGAAGCATGGCCAGGACTTGCAGGAGCCTGCACCATCTTCTGTTCGTGCTGAAGGTCCAGGCATGCCATTATTGCCACCTCCTCCTCCAAGAGTACCAGATCTTGGACCTTATGGCAAAGGTAAGCCTGCTGAGGATGGTGAGCAGGGCAAGGGAAAGTCTTCACCCTCTGCCCAGTGGATTGCAGGTCAGCCTGGGGCCAAAGTGCCCACTGGGTGGAAGAACTACATGGTTCCTTTGCTGGCAGTTGCCCAGCTAAATTCATGGTGCATGTTGAGCCTTGTGGGCTGCATGTGTTGTTCATGTTGTGCTTGTGTGCAATGTATTTAGCAAACCTTAAAGCTGCATCCCTGAGGCTTACATCCGGCAGGATTGGCAGAAGGCAGAGCAGCTGGTGGCTTTGCAACTTGGTGATGATTTTAATTCTTTTTTCTTGACAAATAAATGAGAACAATTGTGAATAGAATTTGTCTTGATCCAATGGGGATGTCAGCTGGGGTACTTGCAGGATCCACAGATTAGGACCTTGGTGGATAACCATATCATGTTCCCTTGGTGCTCAGACTAAATGATTTGAGAAAATCATCTTGGTGATGAACATTCCACCAGAGGTCTTTTTTGCAAAGATGTCACAGCATGTTGCCAAGTGTCCTGAGAAAAAGTGCTGGGTGGATGTGTCTTCCCAAGACCAAAAGTGATTGATGTGGTTTCTTTGTAAATGTAGCAAATCAATGAATAAAAAATATGAATCATTATGCAAGGTTTGCAAACTAATATATGATAGGAAGCTGCTTAGATGTCAGTGCATGGAGCCCTGGAGGCTGATTGATCATGGAAACACATGGTTTGGGTTTGTCACGGAGCCATTAATGGCTGCTTGAACTTGAATTGCTTTGTTGTTTGTTTGCATGACTTTGCATGGATGACATTGGCCTTGATTTTGTTATATATTTTTCAGTCTTTGGTTCAAGAATGATAGAGTACAAATGAATGTGATGCGAGTAAATGAGCAAGAGTTGGCATCAATGACATGCTTCATCGCATGTACAAGATCTCAGCATGAATTCTTCCTCCCACTCAGCCATGGATACCTTTCAACAGGTGAGCCCAGAGACCAAGCAGGAGCTGAACACTCCATTCCACTTGGCTAAGTGGAATTGCTTCTTCAAGTGCTTCCCCATCACTGAGCCAGTGGTCAAGTTGTTCTTTCTGTTTGGTGCAGATGTAGAAGAGATTCCCGACTGCAATATATTGCATGCATTCAAAATTATTGTTTGGTAACTGTATTTTTTTGTTGCTGTAATTATTTTAGTTTGCTGACTTAGATATTGTGCACAAACAATTTCAATTCAGTATACTAAATTGATATTGCTATATTTTGCAAACCAATTCAGTATGCTGAATTGGTTTTGACATATTAAAAAACCAATTCAATCCACTGAATTCATTTTCAAATACTATGGAGATCAATTCAGTATGCTGAATTTAATATTTAGTAATTCAATTACTAATTCAGTAAATTAAATTAAATATTACATATATTGAAAGTTACAAGTAAAACAAAACTTTGATACAGTATGAGGCACTGTTAAATATTCAAATGCAATTCATTTTGTACTAAAATATATACATATATTTTTGTAAATATATAAATATACTATCTTGATTGTAAGTTAGTGTATGTGCACAAAATTATTGTTACATTTTCTTGGAACTGTATGTACCAAATCTATAAATTAAATTTGTTTAATTTGTTGATTCTTTATTCTATTTTGATTACCATACTACCAAACAATCCTATTGCATATATAAACATATTTTAGTTATAGATGAGCCATTGGCTGCATGCTTGGCAGCTTGACATTTTGAGAGCATATAAATGCTGGATTGAAACATAATTCTGCATGGAGCTTGGATTTTGGTCAGTTGTGCTCTTATGAGGGCATGTTCTTGCAGTGAGCCATTATTGGCTACTTGATTTCATCAAGGTTGTTGCTGCAGGTATGTTTTGGTTGCAAACATATATCCCGAGATGGCTGCTCCACAATGCCTATTGCAAGAATCAATCCAAGCATGAAGGCCAGATCAAGTTTACCAACCACCACAAAATTTACAATATTGCTTCCATTGCTAGACTTCTGCCATGGCTTGGACATCCAAAGACTTTATCAATGAGCTTCAAGATGTTGAGGAGTTGCTGGCTTTCAAGAGTGCACCTGCACTACAAGAGAGTTTGTTGATAGCTTTGCTGAAGAAGGTTGACTGCAGCAACAATTTGTTGGCTTCTGATTATGCCAGCATGCTGGAGGCTATCACAAAGAGTTCTTTGGGAGATACCAAGAAGCAATGGCTTCAAGACAAAATCATGGAAAGAGCTGCTGAAGGAGGAAAAGGGTCCAAGGGAAGCAAGATAGTGAACAGCCCTCAAAGCTTGGTGAATGTTGCTGCCTACATGACAGAAGCTGAGATCCAGCAACTTATGACTGGAGAGATTACCAAAGCTCCACACTTGATTGTGCAAAGGCTGAGGTTGTTGGGATTGACTTCCATCAAAGAAGATACCAAAAGGTATTGTGTGGCCTTGCTAGTGCAATCTATGTTGTGGCATGGGATGCAGATGCCAGATGGTGATTACACCTACATGCTGGCTACACAATTCACCAGCTTGTTTCAAGCCAGCAAAATTCAATCCAAAGTTGCACCTCTGAAGGTTTACCCACAGCTGCCCACAGTCCTTGGACAAGATTGGTTAGAGAAAGTCTATGGTGAAGAAAAGCCAAGTCTCAAAACTTTCCCTCAACTCCCAGAGATTGCCAGTCAGGTATGTGTCAGAAGCACAAACTCGAATTTGAGCAAGAATTCCAAGACAAGATTGCAAGGGAAGCAATCTTCTTCAGCTCATGGATTCCCAGCTGACTTCATGCAGGCTTTGAGAGATTTGGTACACAAGCCCTTGGCAGAGCCTTCAGCTTCTTCTGCCCAAGGCATGAAGCTGACCTTCTTCAACCAGCAGGCCAGTCCAAAGAAAGCATTGCCATCCAGTGTGAGTGCATTGGACATCATGAAAGAGAAGCAACAGATGGGCCAGGCATCCTCACCTCCAAAAAGGGCATTGGCATTGACCAATGAGCCTGGAAAGAATGGCAAGCCTTTGGACCAAGAGAATGCGAACCAAGAAAAAACAATGAGGAAAGCAATGATGTCACTATGGATGATTGTCAGACAAAGACCAAAAAAAAAGGATTGGAAAATTATGAGAAAGAAGCCGTGGAGATCTTGTTGAAGAGACCTGCAAGTGCCAAAATGTCAGCTCCCCAAACCTCTATGAAAAGGCCAGCTGCCAAACCAGCTTCTGGTGAGAACAAAGGAAGCTCCACCAGCAAAAGCTCAGTCTCTAAGAAAAAGATGTTGGGTTGCATCCGATGCAGAGGAAGTGCTGCTGGATGTGAAAAATGTCGTAATCCAACCTTCAAGGGCCAGAGATTCAATGGAAGAGCGGGTTACTTGAAGTGGAAGAAGGACCTAGCAAAGAAGGGAAAGATTTACAAATAGAAGCTTGTTTGAAATCTGTGCAGGGCTGCCATGTCATGGCAGTGGTGTAGCCACTAAGGTTGCACTCAAGCAAGGCATGTTGGAAGACTTGTGATGTAAACTGTGAGAAGAAAAAGGTCAAGACAGCTATTTGCTTTTGTCACTTGGAGCCTGCACAAGGCTGGTTGCTTGCCACACTATGTTGAACCAACTTTGATTGTGGTTGCATCAGCTAGACCATATGGTTCAAGGACTGCCAGTTCATGATTTATTTTGGTCAGAGGTGCAGAATATGATAGGTTGATGACTTATGTATATACATGTACCAGGGCAAACATTTTTTCAGAAGATATGAGAGACATTAAAATTTAGACAACTTTGGGTCCAGCCATGGATAGATGGAAGATGAGAACACCAGAGCTGCCAAGCTAAGAAGGTTAGAGACCTTCAGGCGACAGTTACCATACTTGAGTTGTTCAGCTTTGGAGCAAGTTTTAAATTTGGTGCAAAAGGAAGGCTGCCTGAACTTCATAGCAGAAAGAACATCAGGCAAGCTGTGGATGTGACTTTGCAAGACTTATCCACTTGTGGGCAATTGATAGAAGATGTGGAAGTCATTACCATCTCTGGTGGAAGGAAAAGAATTCCTATGCTCAACTTGCCTACATTTCAACTTTGCTGAAGGAGGATATTTCTTTCAGCTTTTGCTTGACAAGCACAACCAAAGGCCATCCAGTTTCCAAAGACCATGGCAAGGCATTCTGTATGCAGATGAGTTGCACCCTGGAAACCAACTCAGTAGCACAGCTAGAAAGACTTGGTGTCTTTATTTCAGCTGGCTTGAGCTGGGTACTGATGTGTTGGCTGATGAAAAAATTGGTTCACTTTGATGGCTGTCAGAAGCAATGAGGTTTCCAATGTTGAAGCTTGTATTTCACAATTGGTCAGAAAATTGTTGGAGAGAATGTTCCTGCATGAACATGGCTCACCCTTGGCTGGAATACATTTGAAGAGAGGTGATCAATGCTTACGACTTTTTTGGGCTTTGGGCTTTCATTCGCAGGATGGAGAATCACAAAGGCAAACTTTTATGAACAGACAAGATACAGGCTCCAGATTGTGTCAGCTTTGCAAAAATGTTTTTGGAGTGAGCGAGAGCAACAGCAGCTTGGAAGATTACAAAATCACTTCCAAATTTCTTCTTTGCAGTGATGAGGAGATATTGCAATCTTGGAAAAGGTTGGAAATCAAAAATAGTACTGAAAACAAAACCACATTCAAAAAGTGGCAACAAGCTTGTGGCTTCACATTTTCACCCCAGGCACTTCTGATGAGCAAACCTCTGGAACATTTGGGTCTGCTAAGACCAGCCACTGGTTATGTGCATGACTGGATGCATGCCTTATGTTCCAATGGTGTTCTTTGCTACATCATGCAGTGGGCCCTGGAAGCTATAGCAACTACAGACATGCCAAACATTTGGAGCACCTTCTGCCAATATTTACAACTGTGGGTTTGGCCTGGCAATTTACCTGGAAGTGCTGCTTCTCACAAATTGTTCGAGGCCAAGAAGGTGGAGACCCACAAAAAGAATGAAAAACTGGTGATGTCTGCATCAGAAATGTTGTCCATTTACCCTGTGTTGGCTTACTTTATGGAAACTTGCTGTGTCCTACCAGCATGTGATGTCCCAAAGCAAGTTTATTTGGCATGGTGCCATGTCTTGGATTTGTTGGTGGCTTCGACTCAACATTTGCCTAAGCCTGGGCAATTGCTGCAAGCTGTACAGAAGGCTTTAGCCTTGACAAAGGCTGCTGGTTGGGCTGGAAGCATGAGGCCCAAATTTCATTGGTGTCTACATTTTGAGCAAGCCCTGCAGCAATTTGATGGCCTGCCTTCTTGTTGGTCTTTGGAGAGGAAGCACAAAGTGGCAAGAAGATATGGCTCTGGATTGTATAACACAAATCGCTATGAAGACACACTCTTGAGAGAACTGACTTGTGATCACCTGGCACATTTGAAACAAGAAGCTGCATAAAGAAAGGGAGCTTATTTTTTGGGGCCACACCCCATTTCCAACAAATTGAAAGCTTATTTGATTGCTCAAGGCATTGCCCAGAGCCATCACCTTTGCCAAGCAAGCAATGCTGCCAGCATGAAATCTGGACATATTTGCAAGATTGGAGATTGTGTGCTTTATAAATTGCCTGCAGAACAACATGGTGCTTTTCCATTTGGAAGTGGCCATTTAGAATATTTGTTGGAATGCGATGGCATGACTTGTGCCATCTTGAAGGCTTTTTCTTTGAAAGAAGTCAATGTGAAGAAAAAAGTTGCCAAATGGGTTCCAAAGGAAGCAGAACTGCATCTTGTTAGTTTGGCAGCTGTTGTCATTTTCAACAAAGCTGAGACTGGATTGGTGACTACATTGTTGCCTCCTCACCTGACCTGAGTTCACACTACCATTGAAAAAAGGTGAATTTGGATGTGCCAGACACCACATGGGTTTGGTGTATGTTAATAAGACCTTTGGCACTGGATTTTCACTCACGCATTTGGAATCATTGGCTGGCAAGGTTCAACATTTTTCAAGGAAATTCCTTGTTGTAACCAGAAAAAGAACCTTGCAGGCTGCATGTGTTGAGTTTTCTTGTCTTCAAGATGTTGGAGCCTCAGGGTTGCATGTGTTGGAGCCTCAGGGCTGCATGTGTTGGAGCCTCAAGGCTGCAAGTTTTTGAAACTTAACATGTGTAAATTCATGCTTAAATCAAAGAGCTTTTGACTTGCTGTGACCTTGGCATGTGAAAATCAAACGTATTCAGCTTACAATGCAACGATCTGCAAACATCCAAATGTTGTAATAATCAACCAGCCATCGGCTCTGTGCAAAAGAATTGTTCATTTCCCCCAAAAAAATCAATCTTATTCTTTTAAAAACAGTATATACAGTTTCATGACTTTCAAAGTACAGTTTCACACAACAATATGGAACATTTGAATTTTGAATTTAAGAAAGCGAAAAACATTTTGCTTGTCTTATATATTGATACATAGAAATTTTTGAAAACATATTCCAAATTATTCCAACATAATCATGAGAAATTTCTGTTGCATGTCTACAAAAAATACAACTATGCAATATACATTTTCTTTTCTGGAAAACACTTTGAAGATTTATTGACAACATACTTTGAAAAGAAACAGTGATTCTGATCTTTCTTAACCTTGTTAAGCTGCAACCTAAATAGTTATAGATGCTTATCCTAACTATGTCAAACTTGTTACTAAAGATTTTAACCTTGTAGCTAACTATAGTGAACATCATCAAAGTGTTACAACTAGTTAACAAACACCCAGCACATCTAAGTGGTTGGGGACCTCAGTGCAACAGGTTTCGATCGAAGAAAGGGATGGAACGGCCACACCGATTGATCGAGAAGATCGACGAAGTCAAAAGGAGTGTTGCCGAAGGACACTCTGATCTTTCCCAATTCACGGTCCACCTGTGGATTTCTCTGGCTTTCGCCATGAAATCAAAACCTCCATACAACATCGAGCTCAATGAAGATGATGTCGAGACTTGTGTAAACGCGATCTGCAAGCTGCAGGAATCCTGCAGCTCTTTTATATGTCTTCCAAGGAACGAGGCAAACCCGTGGTGAAGGTCACGACGTGCGTGATGGAAGTGATGTCATGTTCATTCCCGGTCACGATCGCGACGCTTGGGTTTTAAGCAAAGATATCTTGAATCAAGCATGCCGTAGCGACGATTATGTCATTAACCTGTTTGGTTTAGGCAATCACGGGCCACGTGCTTCGCGTGACTTCGGTGACCAAGTTTGTGGCTTTACCGGCGGGTGTGCAGCGCCGGGACACCAAGTCGATTCCAGAGCAGATCGCGATGGTTGTCGTGGCGCAAGACAAACCGTCGCCTGAGGTGGTTGCTGGCGTGGATAGCATGATTGTCGCCAGGCGTGCCAAAGCCCAGTCCTTGTCTGACCCAAGCGGGCTTATGCTCACAGTGGAAGACATGGTACTCTGGCAGACATGTTTGCCGACAACATAGGTGATGGCAAACTGAGGCCGTGCATGAGTCTGACAAAGGTCATGTCACCAAAGTGGCTCGCATTTTTGCTTTGACTGCGCCCGAAGAAGCCGCAGATTTGCGTGTGTCAGAGATTGAACGGACGCCTGGCGTCGATGTTCGTCGAGGCGTCAAGCAGAAGGCAGACACCTTGATGGACGTGAAGGTGGTGTACGGGAAGCCATTCTTCATGTATTATCTGGGATCCTCTGGGGTTTCAAGCATGCCAAGCATCTGTGGATTTGCATGGATTCCCAAGGCGGCAAGTAGCAGCGATCAACCACAGCTGACTGTCATCACGTACAAGAGCCTTTTGCAGCATCGATTCTTCTTCTTCTTTTGCTTCGGTTGTAGGGCACCTGAGTCATGTCGATTTCCGATGGCACACACAACCATTGAAGTTGTTCCTCAGGGGCTTCCGGGGAAAGTGTTTTGACCACCTCGTAGTTGACAGCCAAGTTCTCGATCTCCCCCGACCTCAGAGCCCTTAGTCTTGCCATCTTCCTCCATTGTGCCTCTTCAACCTCCTTCATCAACTCCATGCCCGTGTTATACTCCAGGTACGGACAGTTGGCCTTGACAAACACCTTGACTTCTCCTCGAACTGGATGACGGATGAAGCATCCATCCCTGTGCCAATTGATTTTCAAACCAGCTTCAGCAAGGAGTCCCAGGGCGAGGATCGGTTGAACTGCTTGTTCATCAGTGAGAAGGGTGTTGAACTCTTCAGATTGACGAAGTTCCGTAGTGCCCACCGCCGTCTGCATTCTTCACCATCGTAAGGTCGACGGAGACAATGAGCAGCGCCGCAGCGCCACTGTCCAAGAGCACACCATCCTCATAGTGACTAGACCTCGAGATCAAGGCATTGACCTTTGGCTCCGCCTTAGTGGTCCTCAGCAGTGACGAGACATCTCCCAAGATGGTCTCCATGCCACCAGTGCCAGCAGTCGCCGAACTCGTAGAAGACGATGTAGCGTTGGCCTCAACCTTATTGACCTCGACCGGCTTCTCGGCATCCTCCAAAGCATCATTAGATCCAGGTGATCCCTTGCCTTTTCCTTTCGACTTGCCTTTTGAAAGCCTTTTTGTTGACCCTTCTCACCGCCCTTGTCGTTCTTGTTGGGCGTGTCCTCAGCCTTTTTCGCTCCTGCCGTGCATTCCGTAGCCATACGCTGCTTGCTTCCAGAGTTGAAGCATCTTTCTGTGCACCCCTTGCCAGTCATGCGCATAGGGGCACGATCTTCCTCTGCGACAGCCCTGGTCGGACTTCCAAAACCTGCATGGTCTCTTGGCCGTCTTGTTGTCTGCGTTGAGGCTCCTGACCTTAGCATCCTCCTTCTGGTCCTTAGGTTGTGTCCCTCCCGCATTGATCTTGTTGTGCAAGAGGTGCTCCATCCCCCCAGAAGTAGGTTGTAGTAGTTGTCGATGCTCTCGGCCGTTGGTGCTGTGTCGACTTGGTGAATCGTTAATGGAATGAAGTCACCCTGAACTGAGCTTGTTGGTCTTGTTGAAGTACTTGTCGAGTCACCTCGCTCAACACACCAACCAACAGAAGAGGGTCTGGAGTGACTAGGCGTAGTTCTCGGGCTCGAAGTAGATACCGTCGCCATGTTCTCAACGACTCCAAAGCCTCAGGCACGGACTTCGATGCCTTCGTTGACGTCAAAGATGCCAACGTCTGAGCCTTCTCTCCTTGTCCTCCCGGCTGATAGGTCTTGAGGATGCGGAAGATGACCTGGAGACATGTCAACTTCCTTGCAGCGATCAGCTCGCTCTTGAGGGTTGTGGGCAAAGCGGCCAACAGCAGTGACACCACTCTTGCGTCCAGCCGTTCATAGCCCTTCTCATTTCCCTCCTTCGGCAGGATGTTGGGGCGCTCCAATGGACCTTATGCCAACCATCTGTTCTATAGGTCTCATAGGCATTGTCCAAAGTCCTTGACCACCAACCTGCTGCACGTTGTGACACATCAGAGATCAAAGGCTTGATCTCCACCAGCCATTCTCCAGCACGTAGGCCAGAACCATTTGCAGACACTTCGCATAGCTTGGGCAGCACGCTGGGTACTCCACGAAGAACTTCAAGCTCCTCACCCTGCAACCCACATCTTTTGGTGGTCGTTGTGGTTTCCTCTCCAAAGCCTCCCATTCAAGGTTATGCGCTGCTTGTTGTGGAAGAGGTTGGGGAAACCAGCTCGTCGTCGAAGCCGCCTTCATAGCTTCTGCTTGTCGTGCAGTTTCACGACTTCTCATCTCGTAGAGCTGCCGCTTCAACCTTTCAACTTCTTGTTGAACTTCCGGTAGAGTTTGGTCTTGAGCTCCTTGTTGTTGTTGGCCTTGTTGCCAACCTTCTTGTTGTCCTCCACCATGACCCTCTCCCGGAGTCCAGTAGGTCTGTCCATCGTCGTGTTGAACTCCTCCATGAACCGGAAGTGGTGGTGGAGGTGGTGGGACAGGGTCAACTCCTGGTCCTTGTAGGGCTCCATCAGGTAGAAGCCATCCCATTTCATCCAAATTTCTTCTTGGAGTTTCAAGCGGCTAAGCCGGCAGTTCTGGTAGCCTTGGTGGCGTGTTTGGAGGCACCACCGTTCCACCAGGTGTTGTTCTCATGGTTGGTGGAGCCGCCTTCGGAGTCATTGGGAACCACTCCACTTTCTCCGTCTTCAGCCTCTCGTCCACCCTGGACTGACGAAGTTCTTCTAGCTGTCTCCGCAAGTCCTCATTCTGTTTATAATCATCTTTACATTCTGTTTCGTGAAGTTCTCCATCATGGTCTTTTCAAAGGCACGCTCCAAGTCTTCCTGGCGACCACCATCAGCTCTTGGAACCTTCGAAGGTGGTTGGTCCTGAAACCCCTCCTTCTCTTCGTTGACCTCCTCCTTGATGGTGATCACCTTGTTGACGTAGGTCACCACCACCTCCTTGAAGACGATCTCCACCATGTTGAAAGAGTCCCGGACTTCTTTGACGTCCACGTTGAGGTCCTTCAGCTGCGCGATCACTTCCTGGACCTGGAACGTCTCCACCGTGATGTCCTTGTTCAAAAAGTCCAACTCCAAGTCCATGATGTTCTTCTGCACCACGTCCTCGAAGTTGAACCTTCACGATGAAGTCCATGTAGTAGCCCACCATCCAGCAAAGGCCACCCCGATGTCACTTGCAGTGATTGCTTAGCCGCACCACGTAGGCCACCCAACACATGCACTGATTGCGGCACACCTCCACCAGCAGCAGCTTCAAGGCCACCCCGATGAAGTCCTCACCGTTGCGGCTCGCCTCCCCCAGCAGCAGCTTCGAGGCCACCCCAGTGAAGTCCTCACCGTTGCGGCTCGCCTCCCCCAGCAGCAGCCCCTCGGAGAAGGACACAGCCATCATGCTACGAATGGCGCGGGCCAGGCAAAGCGACCCGGCCATCGCAAACGACGCCGGCAAGACCTTCTATGGCAGACAGAAGCCGGAGCTGGATGTGGATTTCTGCCGCTTGTCAGTCGAGCGCTTGGCAGAGGTGCGGTGGGCAAAAAATCCAGTAAGGGAGCGGGGTAAGCCAACAGGTGATGTTAGGGTAGGCGCAATGGTTTTGAAATACCAGTGCCTATATCAAGCGTCATCTTTTAGCGTGGGGGCCGCAAATTGCGACGCAGCAGACATGCATTGCCGCCCGTTTTGTCAGGAGCTGCCAAACTACGAGGCCAGGCGGGCGTTGCTGGCGAGAGACCCCTTGGCCTGCGCCTATGGGTTTCAAGTGTTGGTGCTCCTTGCATTGCGGCACATCTTTGGTCTGAGGTTCTGCTTCCACTGCCCGGATTGCGCCGCGTCCAGCCAGCCATGCACCGATGCTTTTGGCAGCAATGCTACAGCAGCTGGTGGCGCGTTTGGGCGCATCGACGCTGTGTATGGTTCTTTGGAATGTCAGAGGTGCGGCGCCTTCCACATGCACGGCCAGTTCTTTGTGCAATGCTTTCATCAATTCAGGTCCTTGGGTGATCTCATGGAGCTGGGCCAGGAGCGCATGCTGGAGATGCTGCGGAAGTATTCGGATTACTCAGCACACGTGTCACGAAAGGTGTATTGCAACCCTGAGGCATGGCACGACAAGCAGCACGAGATTGAGGAGCAGTGGCCGGAATACAAGGCTTCGTCCCTAATGCAAAGCAGGCCCGGCTACCAGCAGGATGAGATTGTGACACCGGCGGAGTGGCGGAGGATCTATTTGGCCGAAGATGTGGAAGCCCTGCAGATGCACAAGCAGCACCATGTGCATATCATGGACCAGCATGGCCGGAGACAGCCGCTGAACCACTGCAAGGACCCGAAGGACCCAACCAAATGCAAAGCACACTTCCCCAGAGACAGGTGGCTGACAGAGGAGCCGTACTTTCAAGGCCACCTCGGTGAAGTCCTGGCCACCTACCATCTTCAAGCTCCTCCGATGCGAATTCATCATCCACTGGTGGAAGCTCCCCAACTGTGTGCTCCTCGTCGAACTCCAAGTCGATGAGGTCTGGTGTATTCGCCACACTTGGAAGGTCTGCTGGCCTCGCTTGTGCCAGTTCAAACTCTTCCCTCACACGTTGACTCCAGAACGGGTTTGCCTGCGCTCCTTCTTGGTGACGTCGACGAAGTCCATCGCCATCCGCCACCAACTCAAAGCCCCTCATCGAAGGCATTGAAGCTGCTCTTCGAGACGCCATTGCTGCGCCCCAAATTAACTGAGCGTTGGGCTCATAACCTGTGGGGAACAGGCAAAGCTGTGCAAAACCTTTTCTGGGCCAAAGAAGACCTGCGGTTGCAGATCATGTCTCGTAGTTGATGGATGACATCATGTTATGCCACAAGCTTCAAAAGATGGACCACCCCACTCACAAGAAGAAAGAATCTCGCGGGGTGGTGAATTTGCAGAAAGTAAGCACAAAACACGGTAGTGTCCAATGAATTATGCATTTCAAAGCTCTGAAACCCTAGCGAAACGCAATTTTTTCATCATGTTGTTAACATGAGATGTTCCCAAAACCGGAGCAGGCGCCCAAAAAGAAAATAAGAGATACACAAAACATGCACAAACACAAAAATATCAGAAACTATGGGCCAAGGTTCTTGCTTTTGTCATTTTTTGGTTGCGTTAGTGCCCTCAGAATGTCGTGTGTTTTCCCTTTTTTTTGGTGCCTGTGCAGGTTTCAGGCATGCGATGTTCACAGAAACTGCACAAGCACCTAAAAAAATACAAACCACGAGATGCACAAGACGCGCACAGGAACAAAAAACAAAACAAAAAAAACAAGCGACTTGTTGAGGAAACCGGCGCAGGCACGGAAGAACCCAAAAATAAACACCAAAAAAAACGATGGCCCAAGGCTCCCAAGGCTCCCAAGGCTCCCAAGGCCCCCAAGGCTCCCAAGGCCCCCAAGGCTCCCAAGGCTCCCAAGGCCCAAGGCTGGGTGTTGAAATTTGGGTGTTGTTTTTGGCGGCTGCGTTTCCTCGGTGTGTTTTGGCCTTCGCAGGTTTGGCGCAGTCACTTCAGGTGAGGTGCCAGAGCTGCGAGGTCTGAGTCTGCGTCAACTGCGTCAACTGCATCAACTGCGTCAATTCAAAACTGGAAGCTGGAACTTGGAACTGCGAGGTCTGCCAAGATGAAGTCAGTGCTGTGCAGAAGGCGCAGAAGTGCGGAAACGAATACTCTTCCACTCTGAACTGCGATTTTCGATCTGACCGTCCAAGCTGGATAGGTCCGAGCGCGGGTAGAATCACCAGTTGAATTGCTCTGCTATATCTTAATTCAAGCTGAATTATTTTTGTTTTTCCTTTAAATGATAACGGTTAAAAAAAGAAAGCCAGATCCGCACTGGAAGCCAAGCAAGAAAAATGTGACAAGTTGAATGAGTTTAACTTCTGCATTTCAGTTTTTTGAAACTCCGTTCTTTGTTTCGAGACATGTATTTTTTTATCGTTCGTTTGGCGTGGCCACGAAGCGAACATTTGTGCTGTTCTGCCAGAAACACTTGTTTCTTCTGCTGTTTTTTTGTACATTGCGCAAGCTTGACGGTTTTGCACAATTGACAAACATCCGAAAAAAGTAAACAAGAGTAAACAAGGAGCAATGTAGGGTGCCCAAAAGGGGAAGAACAAATCAGCTTCCCTAAGTAGGTACCGTGGAGCACGCAGCTAGACAGCTACGCCAAAGCACATGACGTGGTGTGAGACTGGACCCTCAACCCTAGTGCCCTAGTGGGTCATGGAACGTGTACACCTCCGGCATGGCATGACTGGCATGACTTGAGACTATCATAGACTATGGACACAGAATATCTACACAGAATCTACCCTCTTTATCCTTCTTTATCCCTCTTTATCCCTCTTTATCCCTCTTTATCCTTCTTTATCCCTCTTTATCCCTCTTTCTCCCTCTTTGACTACTTTGCTTCAACGAGCAATCGAAGGCATCACGAGCCAAAAGGCCGGGTCTGGGGCACCCAAAAATGATGTGGGGATGTGTCGGATGTGTCGGTTGTGTCGGATGTGTGCTTTGTATTGCTTTTTTGGTTTGCTGTGTGCTGTCTTTGCTTGGTGAATAGGTTTTTACCATTGTATACATGTATAGTTACACTGTGTATTACTTTAGGCCCTTTAGGTGTTAGGATCACTTCCGTTGCGTTCATGTGGCTTGGGCGTCGCAGGTTCCCCCCTTAGCTTAGAGGCTTAGAGCTCACTTGTGTCCCTTTGTGATGCAAAATGATGCAAAAAGGACCGTTTGTAGCTGCTTAGAGCTGCTTAGAGCTGCTAGCTGTGGCTGGGGCTGGCCTTTTACCATCGTAAAATGCGATTTAGACCACACTGACCACACCATCCGAGATCCAAACCTGGCCACCCTTTGACTCACCATGACTCACTGGTACACAGTACTATACAGATCTATACAGATCTATGCAGATCTATACAGATCTATACAGATCTATACAGTACTTACACGTGTCAAACGCCATGACGCCCCGTCAGTCACAAAAAATCACAAAATATCACAAAATGACACCAAGAGGCGCAGGTGCTTCTCACTCATGACGGTGGTCATGAAAATTGCTATACGCGGATCGCCTGCTGAGGACTCTGCTGAGGACTCTGCTGAGGACTCTGCTGAGGACTCTGCTGAGGAGGATAGCCTGCTGGGCAGCGCGGGACGTGGGACGACGTCGGGGACGTCCGGGACGTCAGGGACGTCAGGGACGTGAGGGACGTGAGGGACGTGAGGGACGTCAGGGATGTGAGGGACGTCAGGGACGCCAGGGACGTCAGGGACGTGAGGGCCGTGAGGGACGTCAGGTCATGGCAGGGACGTCAGGGACGTCAGGGACGTGAGGGACGCGTGAGGGACGCGTGAGGGACGCGTGAGGGACGCGTGAGGGACGCGTGAGGGACGCGTGAGGGACGCGTGAGGGACGTGAGGGACGTGAGGGACGTGGAGAGACGTGAGGGACGTGAGGGACGTGGAGGACGTGAGGGACGTGAGGGCAGGGACGTAAGGGACGTGAGGGACATGAGGGACGTGAGGGACGTGAGGGACGTGAGGGTGAGGGACGTGGAGGACGTGTTGGACGTGAGGGACGGCGGGGACGTCAGAGACGTGAGGGACGTGAGGCGGTGAAGGGATCACTTAAAGAGCGCCGGAAAGTGGATCACTTAGAGCACCGGATCACTTAGAGCACCAAAAAAGTGGATCACTTAGAGTACCAGAGAATGATACCTTCAGGGTAACACTTGGGGACACGGGGCTGGGACATGGGGTGGGTTTAGGGGACCAGCATGGTGGAATGAGCCCTTTTAGGGTAACACTTGGGGGCACGGGGCTTGGACATGGGATGGGTTTAGGGGACCAGCATGGTGGAATGAGACCTGTTTAGGGTAACACTTGGGGACACGGGGCTGGGACATGGGGCTGGGACATGGGGTGGGTTTAGGGGACAAGTGGGGACACGGGGCTGCTTGGACATGGGATGGGTTTATAGGGGGCCAGCATGGTGGAATGAGACCTTTGGGGTAACACTTGGGGACACGGGGCTGCGACAAGGGCACAAGTGGGGACACGGGGCAGGGTCTATAGGGGACCAGCATGGTGGATTACATTAGAGCAGCAGGGAATGAGACCTTTAGTCGTGCACCATTCTGGAACTAGCTAGGACACAACCGGTAGCCATGAGTGGTCCGGATCTGGAACGGGTATGGAACAGGGTCTGGAACGAAACGGCCCACCCCAGAACCTACGTTGTAACATATTCGTCAAGTAACTTGCAAGACGTTCCTGCTACGTTGTAACATCTTCTTCAAGTAACTTGCAAGACGTTCCTGGTATTGTGTAACATCTTCGTCAAGTAACTTGCAAGACGTTCCTGATACGCTGTCACATCTTGATCAAGTAACTTGCAGTACGTTTCTGGTACAGTGTAACATCTTCTCCAAGTAACTTGCAAGACGTTCGTGATACGTTGTAACATCTTCGTCAAGTCACTTGCAAGACGTACTTGATACTTTGTAACATCTTCTTCAAGTACCTTCCAAGACGTACCTGATACGTTGGAACAGCTTCTTCAAGTAACATGCAAGACGATCCTGCTACGTTGCCACATCTTGTTCCAAGTAACTTGCCAGATGTTCCTGATACGTTGTAAACTCTTCTTCAAGTAACTTGCAAGACGTTCCTAATACGTGATACGTTGTAACATCTTTTTCAATTAACTTGCAAGACGTTCCTGGTACGTTGTAACATCTTCTCCAAGTAACTTGCAAGACGTTCTTGATACGTTGTAACATCTTCGTCAAGTAACTTGCAAGAAGTTCCTGCCATGTGGAAACATCTTCTCCAAGTAACTTGCAAGATGTTCCTGCATGGTACGTTGTCATACCGTCTTCAAGTAACTTGCAAGATGTTCCTGACACGTTGTATGATGCTCTTCCAGTGCCGAAAAGCGGATCGCGTGGAATGTTATCGCGTGCTTCAGCGACATGTGAATGCATCCATTTATGTGTCTTTATGCCTTTGCGATCCTTTGCGCATATATGGAACTCTAAGCGCTATGTATCTCTTATGTCACTTTTGGGCGTTACAAGCGATCCACTTTCACTTTCCGGCGCTCTAAGCGAGATGTCAGGGACGTCAGGGACGTCAGGGACGTCAGGGACGTCAGACCAGGGACGTGAGGGACGTGAGGGACGTCGGGGACGTCGACGACGTCATGGACGTCAGACCAGCGAGGGACGTGGAGGATGTGAGGGACGTGAGGGACGTGAGGGACGTTGGGGACGTCGGGGACGTGAGGGACGTCAGACCAGGGACGTGAGGGACGTGAGGGACGTGAGGGACGTGAGGGACGTCAGGGACGCCAGGGACGTTGGGGACGTCAGGGACGTGAGGGACGTGAGGGACGTGAGGGACGTGAGGGACGTGGAGGACGTGGAGGACGTGGAGGAAGTGGGCTCCTGGCTGCGCTGTGCGGCGGGCAATTGTGGAGGACTGTGCTGAGGACTCTGTTTGCTGGGGACTTATAGCTGACTTAGATGACTTAGCTGACTTGGCTGAGGATTGAGAGTTGGACTCTGAGTCACAAGAGTCACGAGAGTCGCGAGGCTTCGCTGAAGTTTGAGGCCGAGTTTGTTGGCCAGTTTGAATGTCTGCCCAAGTTTGAGTCTGAAGCATCTGAAGCAAAGTTGGCAGTCTGAAGTTTCTCGAAGCTGCCCTGTGAAACGTTTGAAACACTTGCCGTCTGCCAAGGACTCGAAGCCCAACTTGAATTCAACGGAGTCTGTTCGATTGTCGTATGAAACGGTGTAATTAATTGTAATTAATTGCAGGTGTTTGAACAATGTCATGTCCAAATGATTCAAGTGGCTGCGTTCGCTGAATTTGTTGTTGTTCGTTTCTCACCGCCACGAAGAAATGAGATCAACTGGGTCTGGAACCGAAGTACGACATGAAAACATGGACTGTGAAGCAAAAATCATCCAAGTACATGTAGCGCATGTAGTTACGTACAAAAAGGAACCAAAAACATGTTGAATTATTGACGCGAGAAGTGGAATTGACGAACAAACTCGGTGAACGGAGTAGTGGAATTGACGAACAAACTCAGTGACAACATCAGATGGGCCAAAACAAAACCGTGATAAGTTGCCAGATGTTTTTAGTCGTCAACTGTTTATTTTCATTTATTTTCCATGTTTTTGCACGTTTTTTGTATGAATTTGTTCTCATTGATGTTTACCCGTATTTACCCGTTTACCCCGCATGAAATCCAGCACGGGACGTCCTGCCTCAAGGTTCCCGCTTGGAAACGACGACGCGCAACGTTGTTGAAGATGTTGGAGACCACAAGGAACGGAACAGGCAGAGTTAGAACCACAATGCACAACCAAACAAAATAGCGGCTGCACTGTGCAGTCATGGCAGACGGCCCTGGCGTACTCGCCAATTTTGCTGTGGTTTTGCCCCTGCGGTTTGGGAATGTTGAGACAGTGAAGACCGTGTGTATCATATAGTTCATTGTGGGGTAATGTCGTGGTAGCACGGCGTTGACATGTGCCATGATGCGGCAAATTTAATTTGCAAACCATCACATGTTTGGATCAGTTTCGAAAACCATTCAAAAGCTTGAATTTTTACCTGATTTCATTGGAAACAATTTCGCTCTTGAGCCTAAAAACGGCCAGGCCAAAATCACGCCAGGCCAAAATCACGCCAGGCCAAAATCAAACGTTTCCAAATTACCAAAACTACACACATTGTTTCTGAACTGCACTTGGGTAAAACCCCTAAACACACAAAATATTGTACTGTTGGACTATTTATGGTTACAACTTGGGTTCTTTATCAAGGCAATTCTAGAAATAATCGTACCGCAGGAAACGATTACCATGTTTGTTGGCCAGGGCCGCCTTTTATGGCGTCTGAACCTCCAAAAGTGGTCCGAACCCCTATTGTTTTGAACATTTTGACTTCGAAATGTGCTTCGCGCCACAACGGGGTGTACTTTTTCGACATCTCAACCTCCAAAAGTGGTCCGAACCCCTAGTGTTTTGAACATTTTGACTTGGAAATGTGCTTCGCGCCACAACGGCGTGCACTTTTTCGACATCCCAACTTCCAAAAGTGCTCCGAGACCCAGGTATTTTGTGCATTTTGACTTCGAGATGTGCTTCGCGCCACAACGGCGTGCAATTTTTCATTTCTCATCTGGCCAGCTGGCTCCGCACCCGCCGCTTTAGCGAGCCTACTTTTCGACCCTCCGGAGCCACAAATCATTGGAAAAACACAGTGAATCGTGACTTTCCTACCTTTTCGCGCATCTCCATCTTCTTTCTTCTTACTCTTTCTCTTCTACTCTTCTCTCTTCTGATTTTTCTCTTCTCTCTGCCTCTGCCCTGCTCTGCTTTTCATCTGTCCATATTGTCGGAAGTTTGACTTCTAAACTTCCTTCGATAAGATACAAGAAACAAAAGAAAAAATCCAGAAATGCAAGTTCCTCAACTAATCCATTTCCCCCCACTTTTTGGAATCAGAAAAAGTGATTTGAGGTGGTCACAAAGGGCTTGCCCCGGAACTGCTGACCTCCCACAATCTGACCAAATACTAAGCCGGCCACCACTTTCTTGGGACAGAAAACCAGAGAATTGAAAGCATTGTTGGCAAATTTCTGTGCAAAAATGGTTGCCCTTACCCTTGAGGGCAGTTGGCAGTTGATGAATCCTGGGTCAACATGTACATTACGACACGCACCCCCAAAGCAGATTCCAGGAATCTGCTTACTGCAGCTAGGTCAGCTAGGTCATCTAGAATCTAGATGTGGCATGTGGCTGGTCAAATTGGCATATTCCAAAAAGATATGGGTCTGAGTGGGTCTCAGTGGTGCTTCGCAAACTGGTTTGCGGGGGCCGACACTTGCTTGGGGCAAGAAAAGACATAAAAACCAGGCCATTAAATAGATTGTTGGCAAATTTCTATGCAAAAAAAGTTGCTTTACCCTTGGGGGCTGTTGGCAGTTGATGAATCCTGGGTCAACATGTGCATCACGACACGCACCCCCAGTAAGCAGATTCCAGGAATCTGCTTTCTGCAGCTAGGCCATCTAGATGTGGCTGGTCAGGTTTGGGATTATTGACTGACCCAAATGGTTTATTAGCAGGTCAGCAAGTCAAGCGGGCACAAATGGCATGGAATTCGAGGAAGGTCGGTTCAAGGTTTCTGCCAGCAATAGAGGAAACTAAAAGGGAAAAATGGCAGAACCGCTTCTGGCTGATCTATCTCTTAGGCCAGAACAAGTTAGTTTGAGGCGGACACAAGGGTCTGCCCAGGACTGGTGACCTCCCACAATCTGATTGAATACAGCTCCCTCTCTGTATAGATCTTTCGATGTCCAAACTCAAACTGTGTGTGGGGTATATGTGTCCCAAAATAACAATCTTTACAGGAAAACTAGTTATTAAGCAGTAGGTTTAGACGTGGTGCACCGACAAAACCCACAGTAGAGGTAGAGTAGAGTTGATCTCAAATTGATGCGGGAGGAAAAAACATGCCTTCTACCGAGCCCCTTCCCCACAAAAAGTAGGGGCCACGCAGTAAGCAGGACACCTCCCTATGGTTTGACAAGGGCAGAAGCAGCTCTGGGCTCAGAGTCGGACCTTATATGAACCCCTAAAATACCCTCCTGCTTACTACTTTGGCTTGGCTGGTTCCTGCTTACTGGGTGTCCGTGACTGCAATATTTAAAGATAAATGCACATTTTGGAATTTGCGTGGTACATCACGGTACTTTGTATGTGCATGTATTTGCGACTTAATTCTGGGCATGTTAAAGCCTAGCTGCCATGGCCTTTTCTTCATCAGTGGCCAGTCGACAAGTCACACTCGTATCAACGAGTGACCAAAGCTTTCAGTTCTTGGAACTCGGAGCGGATCGTGTCCATCAGCCTATACCAAACGGCGCTTGCGCGAGTTCGACAGCTGCGCCAGGTTAGGAGGTTAGGATGACCAGGTTCTCGGATGTTCTCGGTTAGTAAATGAGGTTAGTAAATGTAAAGAGCTGCAGCACAGCAAAGCTAAGAGTCCTTACCAATCGGAAATGTGCCTGCGACGAACATGTTGCAAGGCAAGGCAGCAGCCATATAGCCAATATACTGCAGAGCCAGCCCAACTATTTCAGCGCAGGAAAGTAGGACATATCAGTAACAAATCCAGGCACAGCTCACCAGAGAAACATTTCAGAAGCGGACAGGGAGAGAAGGGAACAAACTGAACAAACCAACCCAGCAAAAACTAGAACATGCACTGTGCAAGTCATCGTTCTTGGTGAACAATAAATCTAGCGAAATAGAACATGTACTGTATCTGTGTACATAAACTCCATTCCATTCCATGCCTTTCCAATTGCATCTGTGTCAAATTTAACATTCATACTGCACACTATATACTGTTCATCATATGCAGTACAAATCCCGCAATCAGTTCCAAGCAAAGGAGAAAGAATAGGCATCGGTCAGCAAAAGGGCCCTTGTTCTAGACACCCCAAGTTGTGATCTGCTAGCAAGGAAGGGGGTCATTCATGCAAACAAACGCCTTGTGCACTTGTCAAAATTTGACAATAACTTCGGTGAATATCGTTGAGACGAGAGGTCAAGATACTAAGCAGGCTCAGCCGGTGATGCATTGATGGATCATGATGGCCTCGCTTGATCGTACATCAAGGTCATCATCTCAACCTTTGTGGAATATCCTTTCAGCTTCCTGCCAGAAACATCGACGTCTTGAATGCGTCGAACTGCGCAGCACAACATCTCCAAAATTCCAGGAATGTTCTCAAGAATGGCCAAAAAGTACTGAAGCAGTCATGGTTAGAGCATGCAGCTCACAATTTCCTGCCTGGCACAGCTCACAAAATGAGCTAAGTCCACCCGGTTGTTCTTGTGGCCGTCCAAGCGATCCAACATTTTTAGAATAAGGATCGCCTCGGTCGAGAATCTTTCCCGAGTTCGAGTTGCAATCTCATCATTTTCTGGTGTTAGCAACGCACTTTGACTCGCAAACTAAGATAAGGGTGGGCTGCCATCTGCCCTTTCCATCGACCATCAACTACAGAACTGCAAACCTTGTGACCTGTTGTCCATCTTTCTGAAAAGTGTTGCATAACTTCGGAACTGAAAACTTCGAGGGCCCGCTTCCCATCTGCCTCCTGTGGGTTCAGGCGCAGCTCGCTCCAGAATGCCTCGGTTCAGCGCCGCATGCCGCCAAAAGAAGCAGCTCGAACGAACTTGGGCTTGGCCAACCAAATCAACTGTAAGTCTGTAAGGGTTCAAGAAACAAACGAGAAGCTGCAACGCTACATTGTCAAAAGTGAAAAAACATGCCAACAATAAAACCCTCCATAGATCGTACTTAGTTCTGCTAAGACTCCAGTGGATTTGGATCTTTTTGGGGGACCAAGTTGCTCCTTGCAATTTGAACCTGCTCTTGGGCTTAACAATGCCAATAAGAACCTCATGCTCATTGAACTTAAACAATTCCACTAGGCAGTGAGAAATTTTGCATCCTGGTGGATTTGAGATGTCTTGGCACCTCCTTTGCTCCTTGTTTGCGACCTTACCATCAAACATGCCCCCTTACCATCAAACATGTGCTCAACAATAGAAAAGTTTCAATCCAACATATTGTCAGTCAAGGTAAGCCATGAAGGAGACTTATCCACATATCATATGCGGCAAAATTTAATGTCAACACAGTAAATGTGGGAATTGTCTCAATCAACGTGCATTTAGTCGCCCCGGAATAGATGGAAAAGTGCCAAACCTCGAAAACCGATCTAGATTATAGATTTTTGGCCTGCTTTTCCATCGGTCGTATCGTGCTGGTACTGTATTTGTAGTAAATCCCGCACAAAAAATGATGCTTTTGGAAGCAGGCTTTGTTGTAAATATCGCGTCGGTATAATAGATGGAAAAGTGCCCAAGTTGCAAAGCTGATCTAGATAAACCAAAACAACGTAGAAGAAATTTACAAGAATCACATTTTTCCTACAAATGGCAGATGGATACAATAGATGGAAAGGTCAGTTGATGTAGTTTTCAGGGATCCTTCACGATATGAGCCGCATTCCGGCAGGCTCCCCATTCCATTCTCATAAGAAGCCCCCGTGGGGTAAAATTTGGAAGTTTAGGGATGCGATGGGATGCGGGTCTCATTTTTGAAGCCCTTGAATGGAAAATCCCATGGGCGCAGCGGCCACATTTTCACAATTTCAGATAGAATCTCATCTTGGATTCGATATGGAAGGACAAATTCAAGCCATTTGCACAATATCCGCCGACCCCGGCCAGCCACGGGGGATGGCGCCAGGGAAAAGGATGTTGTCCCTTAGGACAGCTAGATTTCCTGCCTATGTCGTCCGTCAGAGTCATGATGTTTTCCCCGTCGGGCAACAACAACAACAACAACAACAACAACAGGAACAGCAAGAGCAAGAGCA